TATCACGTTTGGATATTTTCAAGGAAGGAAGATACGTGCAAGATAAGATTAAGAACTCTCTTCGCTCCTTCACTTATAATTATATTGATCTTGACTTGAAGGAGTTTAAGCTAGGGCGCAAGAAGATAAACATTTTAAACAAACTAACCGAAACTTTTGCCATCCTTAAGCCTGATAAAGGAAATGGCATTGTGCTCATTAATCGCTCTGATTATGTAATTTCCATCAAATCTCTTTTTTCTGATTCCTCTAAGTTTAAGAAAATGGATTATGACCCGACATTAACTAGACTTCATTCTTTACAGAACTACCTACTTAAACTTCACAAACGTAATGAAATTACTGACGAACAACTTGACGCTCTAAGACCTATGACAGCACATTTTGGCAGAGCACATGGCTTGCCAAAGACTCACAAGAAATTTGACACTTTACCCAAATTCCGACCAATAGTTGACACTACTAACACTCCACACTATAACGTTGGAAAATTTTTATCTTCTTTACTAAATCCTCTTACTTTAAACGATCATTCTCTTTCTGATTCTTTTGATGCGGTGACCAATATTAACAATATTCCCAAACATTTGTTTCAAGAAGGCTACCAGTTCGTTTCTTTCGATGTTGAATCCCTCTTTACCAATGTTCCACTTTCCCACACAGTCAAAATTATTCTAGATCGTATTTATAAAGACGAATTAATTACAACCACTTTGGAAAAACGCACTTTGAAAAAACTCATTTTGGATTGTTGCAACAAAACTGCCTTTTCTTTTGACGAGCAAATTTATGTCCAAAAAGACGGCGTTTCTATGGGTTCTTCATTAGGACCTGTCTTAGCTAATATAATTTTAACTGAATTTGAAAGATTAATAGTTTCCGAGTTGATTGCCGATGGTACTATAAAATTCTATAAACGTTACGTTGATGACACTCTTGTTTTGATAAAACCTTCCAATATTTCTGCCGTTTTAGCTAAGTTCAATAGTTTCGATCCGAACTTAAATTTCACAGTTGATACTTTTCCCGATGGTGTTGTTCATTTTTTAGACATAAAAGTCTCGGTTGATGGTACTGACATTTATCGTAAGGACACCCACACCGGTCAGTATTCACATTTTTCAAGTTTTGAGCCTTTTCATCGCAAAACTGCATGGGTAAAATCTCTGTTCCACCGGGCTTTTAAAATTTGCAGTTCAAAAACACTTTTCAACAATCAAATTGAAACCATAAAATCTTTTATGTCTTGGAATGGTTATCCTAATGGCGTTAGAAACTTTTTGATTAAAAAGCTTAAAACCAAATATATTGATAATTCTACTTCCGATACCGTTAATCATGACACTGATGATGATATGTTGCCTAAAATTTGGATTCGTATTCCTTATCTCGGGAACCGTGGTGATTTTCTTTTAAAATCATGTCTCAATAAAATACAAAGATTTCTTTCTAAACCGGTTAAGTTCATCACTATTTATGACACTAAAAAACTCTCTTATTTTGTTTCCAACAAAGATAAACTTCCTCCTTTATCTCGTAGTAATCTTGTATACGAGGTCGCTTGCCCTGGTTGTGGCAAAACCTATATTGGCATGACACAAAGATGCCTTTCTGTACGTTTGAAAGAGCATGCAACTAGGCTCTCTTCTAGTGCAGTGGGCCAACATTTTTCTGAATGTGAACATGCTCAATTCTTAGCTACTTTACAAGACCAGTTCACACTACTCAACGATCTTCCTTTGCCTTCTGACAACTCTTCTCCTATTGTAAACCTTGTTTTCAACAGCTACAGAATACTTCACATTACAAAATCTAACAACTACAACATTCTTGCTTTTCTTGAAGCACTGCTTATCAAACATAACAAACCTTTTCTTAACACTGGACTTAAAGCTAGTAAAGAACTACAACTGTTCACATAACACTTTAACTTAATATCTTCTACTTGCCGGGTCTTCCCTTTCTATCTTATTCCTTTTATATATTAAACATTGTTGTAAATATAGCGAAATAATCCATTCTCAGTTAATTACTTTTTTCTCTATCATGTTTCGCTTCGCTTGGATAATCCTTCTTTCCGCCCACATGACAGATGCTCTCTCTCTGCGTTGTATATATATATGTGTTGTAAAGTATTGTATTTCATTCTGTCTGAAGATGACTTTGAAATAAAGTCGAAAATTTACAGTCTCAAACTGCGTCTTGTTTTGAATTATATATTGAATTCTCAAGATGTCCTGTATTTTCGGAATTTGCTTTTTACTTTATTTTTTTAAATTGTCGGCTGGTCATGGTTTTTTTGTAACAATTTTAGAATTCATGTTTTCGCAAATTATTGTAATTATTCAGTAAAATACTTCTATTTCTGTCAGTTTGAAGTTGTAGCTACCAGCAAACAACGACTTGGTTTGTTGGGTGTTATATTGATACCCAGGTGGAGGTTGATATGTGTGACCAAGGTTGCTATATGAACTTTGGTTGCTGCTGGCATTGTTATAGATGACCAGATCACCGAAACTACCAAATACTGCTCCATAAGAAGAATTACAGTAGATTGCGTTGCCATTTTTACCGTTAATGATCGGACATTTGAACGGTTGCATGTTGTTTGGGTTTCTTAATGAGAACAAAAATGATGCGTTGGAATTTTTGCTCTGACTTGAACCTGGGAGAAGATAAAATGAGCAAATTAACAACAACCTAAGCCTGTTATACATGACAAATATCCTACGAAAGTAACGGTTAGAAATCTTAAACTTGATCGTAATCATGCCTCATGGCAATGGGAATAAGGACAATAAAAATATCAGACTGACAGGAAACAAAACTAAGACTTTCTGCAGATTTCATCACTACAGCAGCACAGTAAACAAGAACTGGGGGCGGTTGTAGGAAGGCTGGATAGCGCTGTCCACTGGATAGTGATTTTTTTCAACCGTTGTAAAATTGCTTGAAAAGTTATAAAATGCGGTCTACGGATATGGAGCTCACAATTAATAAAACGAAACTTTAATTTATAAATACTAAAGTTTAATCCGGGTTATACCAATCAACGAACAATTTTAGAAAGGTTGAAAAAATCACTAGCGTGTTTTCGATAGCGTATGCAGAGGTCGAAATTTACGCTATTCCGCCATTCCACTATTCAATATATAGTAAAATGCCTGACACAACACTCAACAGTAGAAACTTCATGATCTTGGTATTCCGTTTGTATAATAGAAAAAACTGTGTTTGACATCAATTCCTGTCAGTACAGCAGGTCACTGAAGATCATGTTTTTTGTTCATTTTGTATTTGAGGTTCGTTCGCTTCCCTATATTCTGTTTTGCTGTGTTTATTTAAATTTGCTGCATGAGAGATTGGGCGGCATCATCCCTTGACTTTACGGTTAGGGTAATGGTGCAATGATGGCTAACAGAGCAACGCATTTGATGGAGTCTTGGTGTATAAATAAAACCTTGATAACAACAGAATTGTTTGCTATGTTTGCAGTCAGACACATTAGCCTGTAAATCGGGAACATAAAGAGGAATGATAGTGGCTCTTCAGATGGAATAGTAATATTCCAGGGGCCGGTTGATCAACGAAAGCCAGATAGTGATTTTTCAATCTTTCTTAAATTGTCCGTTCACATGTATAACCCAGATTTAACTTTAGTATATAAAAAAATAAGTTTCCTTTTATTAATTGTGCGATCCATATTCGTAGTTTTATCATTTTTCAAGCATTTTTACGACGGTTGAAAAAATCAATATATCCGGTGGATAGCGATATCCAGCCTTCGTACAACCTACCCCAATTGTATGAGTGGAAACCATATGTAAATTCGATGCCAATACATGCATATGTATTCTGTTATTATTCGATTATATGTTAAAAATAAAAGTTTTCATGCACGAATGCATGTGAAAAGAGCGCAAACTATAACTATATCAAGGGGATAAAATTTGTGAAATAATATTTCTTACCTTGCCAAGTTTGATCATTGTATCCTCCAAAGATCCAGTTTCCAACCTTGACCAAAACTACTGTTCCTGCTTTATCATCACACAGTTTGTGGAAGTCTTGACTTGACCAACCATGTAGAGATGCTCTGTAACAAAGCTTTAATGGCGATTTTCTGTTGTTAAGGAAACGCAGCAAATGTTGAAAAAGCGCCACTTCATCTTTTAGAATTACTGTGTCTAATGGCACCAGCAAGTATGTTACGTGAACTAAAAAGAATAAACAAGTTTTTTTTTAAATATAGTGATGGCTTTAACACAATATGCTGTAATCTAGGTCAAGCGTTCGTCTTTCCAGTTACTACATGTTAATGTATCAGAAACGGTGGATTAAATCGTTATGTTTTAGACAAAATTTTAGACTTTAATATGCTGCTTTAATATTGAAAAATTTTAGAGCTACATCTCCTTAACAACAGTCGATTCACATGCATGATTTTCCAAATTGATTTAATGATCTTTGAAAAACTCGGGTACAATTCATCCCAATTACAAACCCGGTTACAGTTAATGAGAAAGTTAACCAATCAAAAATCAATCGCGTATTTTAGAGTTAATTATTATTTTACTACAAAATAATGGTTAAAATGTAGTTACCCCTGTAAGAGCTTTATAGAACCAAGGCCAGTTCTTTGTGTCGAAACACCAAATTCAATAACAAAACAAACGCGAAGTTGTCTTACCAAGGCTTACGATTCCGGAGAAACTATAACAAACTCACGCCCCCAATTCTTTGTTTGCAATGACGTAATTATGGGATTTCAGTTGACGGGCAGGTATAGCAAAAATGGCAATTTTAATGTATTGATCGTGTTTAGAGACAGTTTAAGACTCGAAAGATGAATTACCGTTCAGTTTTTTTTGCTACAACCATTCTAATAGGGAAAAAATCATCCACAAGGTGTTCGATTGCCCATCATTTGGATGAAAAATCACGTGATTGCAAACAACGTTTGGCATTTCGCATCGCTTTTCATTCTTCCTTTGGACACCGCAATTTATATACTTACACTTATCTGTCAATTCCTTGATCAACGGAGAAACACAAAGTGTTTCCACACAAGACACTTGATTTTCAACTTGAACCTGGAACGTTGTTAAATTTTGAGGTCTTTCATTTTGCAACATTTGAATATCACCATCGATAACTTTCTGCGCTGACAACAATTCTTCAAGCTTCGAATTTTCCAACACATCATTTGTGCGTTGAAGTGACTTTTGAACTTTTTGCAGATAATTTGATATCGTTTCAGCCTGAACGGAAAGCTTTTGGCAAGCGGGATCGTAGCCTTTATCAACTTCTTGAATTTTTTCCTCCAAAATCTTGTTTATGCCATCTGCAACAGTTTTCATTATTTCATCTTTCTGAGCGGTGTGTTTTACTTTGATATCTTTCGAGGTTTTCTCGTACGTTGTTTTGCTGTTATTGACAGTTTCTAATGCCTGAAAAGGGAATAAAACTAATCATTTATTGTAATACTGATACGAAAATTTGTCCGGTTTATGTCAGCTGCTCTTCGGAATTCATCCATTTTCATGCATCCCGTGTCAACTCTAGGAGCGAAATCGGGCAGATTTGAGCGCGGCCAGTGCCTGAATGATGAGAGTTGGTAAGCGAAAAAGCATGAGAGTTTTCTCAACTTTACGACGTCGACGCCAGCTAGGACGTCCGCAATCTCGTACCCAGAGCAATGCCTGTGCGCGGGCTAGGATGGCATTGGCTCTGGGAAAATTGACAACCGGAACCCCTAAATTTAGGGGTTCCGGTTCTTTGTCGGCATGCACGATTGATAAACGTTAAACCAATCACAGCACTTTCACAGCACAGGAAAAATTCAATTTCCCCAGAGCCAATGCCATCCTAGCCCGCGCACAGGCATTGCTCTGGGTACGAGATTGGGACGTCAGGGCTAAGCAGAGGACTGGGACTAGGACGTCGTCCTAAATAAATAAACTTCCACTTAAGTTTCACGACGTAGACATTTAAACTATAAATATTTACATACTTTTGAAAATGAATTTTAAAGAGCCGTGTGAATCATTACCGTTTGTTATGCTCTTGTATTTACGACGGTAAAACTCTTGTTGTGAGGTTGTCGACGTTTGGTGGACGACGAGCAAATTGAGAGAGACACATGCACACTTCAAAAACTATTGCCAGTTTACTTCCACTTGCCGCCCTAGATATTTGACGTCGTAGATACTTGAGTTATCAGGGACCTTAAGCATGTACGACGGCAACGCGACGACGACAGTCAAAACAAACTTCTTCAAATAAATTATTGCGAAGAAGAGTTGTTGTGTATTGTCCACTGCATGTATATTTGAATTGAGTTTCAGTTTGAAGAGATTAAAACAAAGGCTTTATGGTTAATAGTCCAGTCAATCTGTGACCAGAGGTCAAAGAAATTGCAATAGAATTTTTTTCAGTGATAAAATGTGAGGGAAGGTGTCCTGATTAACATACTAAAAATCCCAAAATATCCCTTCGGTGGAACATGGTGAAAATCGAGTTTTTCTTACTTCTACCTATAGAAAACCATTGTGGACAGAATGTTCAAATTTTGAAATCATTTTTAGGCAAATGTAACCTACATTATTGGCATTTTAAATCTTGTATAACTTCGGCTGGATAGGCAAAAGCAAGATAACCGTTTAATGATTTATATTTTAGTTTTTTTCTAAGCTTTCCAATAATGTAGGTCACATTTGCCTAAAAATGATTTCAAAATTTCAACATTTTGTCCACAATGGTTTTCTATAGGTAGAAGTAAGAAAAACTCGATTTTCACCATGTTCCACCGAAGGGATTTAACAACTTTTCTCACACTTTACCACTGAAAACAAATCTATTGCAATTACTTTGATCAGGACCATGTACTTATAGTGATTTGACTGGACTATAAAAACGCTTCTGCTGAGCAAATTTGTAGTTTCACTTCTCGCGTCTTGACATGTTTGCGTTGTACACTAGACGTGAAAATCTCTGGTTTGACGTTGTAAAATTAAAAGCCCTAACACAACGTCTCTGACTCCCGTGGGCTTTTAATTATTCATTTCTTTTGTACGAGATCAGGAGTATCATTGTGTGAATAGCCGTCGTCGTCGCGTTGCCGTCCTGTTTGCTAGTCCCAGTCCTCTGCTTAGCCTTGACGTCCTAGCTGACGTCGAAGTCGTAGATCTTAAGCTATCTATTACCGCGCGCGTAGCGAAAACTCATCAAAAATCAAAACTTGAACCTCAAAGTTGACGAGAGTGCAGGAGATTTGATGAGAGTTGGCGGTGTATAACGCCATTAACGCGAGCGAGAGTTGTAACTGTGATCAACACTCATAGCAGGACTTAAAGTGCGATTAACCACAAATACGATTTTTGGTAATGTGTAATATTTGGGTCATTCGAAGACGAAATGTAACTTATATCTTTATATTATTATACTAAAAGATCCCATCTTGATCAACTTTTTTACTGCCAAAGTTTGCGGATATGATGTCATTAGGTGAATTGCATATTAGTTTTCCTTTGTTTTTTTTTGTACCAAAAATTCACCTAATGACATCATATACCACGCTCATGGGATATAACGTCTGGGTTCGCAGACTACATCATATATATTCGGAAACTTTGACAGTGAAAATGTTGATCAAGATGAGGTTTTTACTATAAAGATATATTAGATTTCTTCTTAGAATGACCCAAATATTACACACACCAAAAATTATATTTGGGGTTAGTCGCACTAACCCCAAAGCAGGTCAACAACTCTGGAGTGGACAATGTCAACGTAAGGAAATATAGTACAAGTGTCCCGTCATGCATCGGGGCTTTTGTTATTTTGCAATGTGATCAAGTTTGCTGTGGAAATTTCTGTGAGTAAAAAGATTAAGTGATCTGGACGCCACCGAAATTACAACTTCCTCTTTGGAGGGAAGAGATTTTGGCAAGTGAAAATTAGGGAGGCGAGGCGCGGGCAGCGAAAATTAGGCAGGCGAGGCGCAGGATTTTCGCTGCCCGTGCCTCATTTTCAATTTCCTAATTTTCGCTGCGCGCGCCTCAATCCAAACCCTGATTCAAACTTATAACTGCAAGTTCATCACCATCGACTTGACGATATAAGTGAAACGAACCTATATAGTATTTCTTTAGAATTAATTGAAGTAAACCACGACCACACGTTAGCGTTGTATAGAACTGTCTACCCACCTTATTTCCTTCTTGTAACATTGCGTTAATGGTCGCGCATTTTGACTTCACATCGTCCTGTTGTTTTCGAAAGATTTCATGAATCGCCACGCACGTATGGCCTGGTTTCTTGTGAACGGACGCCACGCATTTCGTGCAAATCAGTTCTTTACATGTTTCGCAATAAAATTTCGGGATGACGTCTTTATGTTGAGTGCAGCTTAACTTTTCTGATCCAATTTTCTGTTGTTTGTCACGATTGATTATTTCACTTATGGAGAGCATTATATGGCATTGCATACGCGTCCAGCTCTCGTGAATCATATAACATTCACGGCACAAAAGCTCTTCGCATTCCATACATATTGTAAACGAAGGCTGATTTTGGCAGTGAGAACAAACAGAAGCATCTTGATTTCGATTTGGACCAACGGCAGTTAGCAGCTTAAGGATAAATTCATGATTGGGCAATCCAGCCACGTTTTCGTCCGGCTTCAATGTAGTTGTGGATCTGCAAGTTGGACAGTTCAACTTCTTGCCTCCGCCATTAACGTTTCCTTTGTCTTGTGTCGCCAAGTTCTCAACACAGGCTTTGCAGAATGAATGAGAGCAAGACAAAATCTTTGGTTCGTTGATGGTTTTCTTACAAACACCGCAAAGGAGAAGATTATGAATTTCATCAACCGAGCGAGAGCTAGTTAAAGAAGCAGCCATCAGATTGTAGAACGATTTACAATTTATTAATTTCCCTTTACAACAGATGACCACTTCAGCAGTAACTATAAGTAATGTGGTTTAAACAGTCAGCAAAGACGATGTTGGTCGTCTCTACTTTGAATCCTGCTTGTCTGGGCGTATTCTGAAATCTTAGCCTATTTATATAAGGATCTTATAAACGTATCAGTTCGCTGATTTCCAAGTATTGCACCCCACTGTTTACTTGGAATTTCCGCAATATTACTTTCGGTTGTGAATATAAACATAGCAGATAAAACTCGACTATTTACAGCTCATATTGGATACAGATTACAGTAATTTTATGTTTTACTCCTCTCTGTTATTGACGTGAAAAAAGCAAGCTACCAGCCAGCCGTGTCACAGTGCGTACAAGATAATGGTCATATTTTTGTCGAGTTCCAAGAATTAATGCACCAACTGTTTTACTTGGAATTCATTTAGAAGAGCGAAACTATCAGCCCTCTAACTTTTATTATATTTTCAACTCGGTACACACAAGGCTACTAGATATAATAAATGGAATGAACATTTTTTCAACTGTCGGTTTACCGCCATTTGTTGCATGATAGTTCTTAGTGAAACTCAGCTCAAGGCTGCTGGGGGTAGTATTCTACAGTAAGCTGCCGAAGGATCTGCTCCTCAAAAAACAGTCAATTTTATGATCCTATATGGGGCTCGCTTTCGCGGTAGTAAAGATGATGGAAGCATCGGCGCACAACCTCGTCCTCGCATTTTCAGAAAAGTCCTGGGAAAGACTTGGACCGTGCAGAGATGGGGGCCATGATCTCCAACCGCCGGAGTCTACTGTGATATTAGTCCAGATACCTATTGAGGTCACTGCATGTGTATTAACTTCAATAATACAAAGATCACACTGTATATACCACTGCACCTTCGCATCACTCCACCACCCCGGCTAAATACATCGCGCATGTCAATACTGGCATTCATACATCTTGTGTAAATATAATATCACGATAATATGAAATATAGAATAGTATATTCATAGGCGTAATGATATAATACATATATTCATAATCAATCATGATAGAAACCAAGCCTCCTCCGCAGGTATCTCACCCGGGGAATCGGGGTTTTTTTTCGAACTGCCCATTCGCAGGCTAAAACACATAGAGATGCCTGCGGAGGAGGCTAATAAAAATCCAACTGAAACCAATCGATTAAAAACTCAAAAATTTTACTATAGGTAAAATTGACTTTTGTTCCTTTCAAATACATGTACACGTTCATTTTATTTATTATATTGTATCGTCTTCAATACAGATTACAAAATTAGTTACATAATATCACTGAAATTACCATGGCGAGATGAATTATCCAAGGAAACGGCGTTATATTATATAATAGTAAAGTAATTTATATTGAGCATATGCTTCATAAAATTGACGATCCACGAACATGGAAATCGGTTTGCTTAAAATGCAACCAAGCTCGCGACCTGACAAGGCCGATAACGTGTTGTTTTTAGATTTAGTTTTCAGAAGTACCTTTTCACATTGGTATCTATGGGGACTATTCAGGGTTTTGCTGAAGGTTTAGGATTGTGAGGGTTTCAAACGTCTTCTGACTCAGCTTCCAAAAATGGAAGTGGTTCTGCGGGTCGCAATGTGAAAAGAGTTGCATCTGATAGTTCGTTATAGTAATTGATTCTTTCTATGTACGTATATAGTGTATTTGTCTAACATTTAGGGATCGCAGTAATTGGCGCAAGCTGTTGCGATTGCCCTGCCAGTTTTTTGTGTTAACGTTGTTTAAATCTGGCAAAGTTAATAAATTAAATTAAAATTAAATTAAAATTCATAGACTACTAGTTTTTTTAATATCTGTACCTCGATGATAAAACTTATCAAACATTGTGAAAAATGTGCGATATTCGCGATAATGAATTTTTCAGAGGATTGTAACAATTTTAGAATTCATGTTTTCGCAGAATGTTGTAATTATTCAGTAAAATACTTCTATTTCTGTCGGTGTGAAGTTTTTGCTACCATTAAACAACGACTGGGTTTGTTGGGTGCCATATTGATACCCTGTTGGAGGTTGATATGTGTGGCCAAGGTTGCTATATGAGTTTTGGTTGCTGTTGGCATTGTCACTGATGATCAGATCATTACCTCCACCAAATATTGCTCCATAAGAAGGATAACACACGATTGCGTTGCCATTTTTACCGTTAATGATTGGACATTTGAACGGTTGCATGTTGTTTGGGTTTCGTAATGAGAACAAAAATGATGCGTTGGAACTTTTGTACCCACCTGAACCTAGGAGAAGAATAAAATGAGCAAATTAACAACAACCTAAACCTGTTATACATGATAAACATCCTACGAAAGTAACGGTTATAAATCTTAACTTGATCGTGATCATGGCAATAGGAAGAAAGGCAGCAAAAATATCGCACTGACAGCAAACGAAATAAAGATTTTTTTCCAGATTTCATCACTACAGCAGCACAGAAAAACAAGAACTGGGGTCGGTTCTACGAAGGCCGGATAGCGCTGTCCACTGGATAGTGATTTTTTCAAGCGTTGTAAAATTGCTTGAGAAGTGATAAAACTACGGATATGGAGCTCACAATTGATAAAACGAAACTTTAATTTCTAAATACTAAAGTTTAATCCGGGTTATCAACGAACAATTTTAGAAAGGTTGAAAAAATCAGTAGCGTGTTTTCGATAGCGTATGCAGAGGTCGAAATTTACGCCGCCATTCCACTATTCAATATATAGTAAAATGCCTGACACAACACTTAACAGTAGAAACTTCATGATCTTGGTATTCCGTTTGTATAATAGAAAAAACTGTGTTTGGTATCAATTCCTGTCAGTACAGTAGGTTACTGAAGATTATTTTTTTTGTTAATTTTGTATTTGAGGTTCGCTCGCTTACCTATATTCTGTTTTGCTGCGTTTATTTAAATTTGCTGCATGAAAGATTGGGCCATCAACCCTTGACTTTACGGTTAGAGTAATGGTGCAATAATGCCTAACAGAGCAACGCATTTGATGGAGTCTTGGTGTATAGATAAAACCTTGATAACAACAGAATTGTTTGCTGTGTTTGCAGTCAGACACATTAGCCTGTGAATCGGGAACATAAAGAGGAATAGTGGCTCTTCAGATGGAATAGTAATATTCCAGTGGCCGGTTGAACGAAAGCTGGATAGTGATTTTTCAAGCTTTCTTGAATTGTTCGTTGACATATATAACCCAGATTTAACTTTAGTATATAAAAAATAAAGTTTCCTTTTATTAATTGTGGGATCCATAATCAGTTTTACCACTTTTCAAGCATTTTTACAACGGTTGAAAAAATCACTATATCCGGTGGATAGCGCTATCCGGCCTTCGCACAACCCACCCCAATTGTATAGTAGAAGCCACATGTAAATTCGATACCCATGCATGCGTGTGTATTCTGTTATTATTCAAATATTATGTTAAAAATAAAAGTTTCCATGCACGAATGTGAAAAGAGCGCAAACTATAACTATATCAAGGGGATAAAATTTGTGAAATAATAATTCTTACCCTGCCAAGTTTGATCAGTGTATCCTCCAAAGATCCAGTTTCCAACCTTGACCAAAACTACTGTTCCTGCTTTATCATCACACCGAGTGTGGAAATTTTGATTTGACCAACCATGTGCAGATGCTCTGTAACAAAGCTTCAATGGCGAACTTCTGCTGTTAAGGAAACACAGCAAATGTCCACCGAGTTCCTCTTCATTTTTCAGGATTACTGTATCTGGTAACAATAAAGCTACAGAAACTGACAATAAAATTGTTTTAAAAAATGTTTTCAACTCGTATTGTTAAATTGTGTCCTCCCTCACATGTGCTTAAAATATCCATAGAGTTTTTAAATTATTTAAAAATTGAAAAATTCACTTGATATTTAATACGGTTGCAGCTTATTTGAATTTGGGTGTTTCTATTTTTATTAAAGAGGAAAAAATGACAAACTATTTTTGTCGGTACTTATCACTGGGAAAAAAAAGTGAAATCCATACTATGAAATTTGCAATTGCACCACTAAATCCATAGTATATCCATACTATTTCGACACTATATCCATACTATGGAAATATACAATTATTATGGATATGGCCTTCTATGGATTTTCAAAATTTTTTCCAGTGTATGCCGTTTTCTATACCCAATATAAATTTTCGAATAAATCGCGTGCTTATAGTTACCACTGACAGGCACTGTTCTTAAACGTATGAAGCATATAGAATGGAACACAGATAACCAAGCATGTAATTGATTTAAATCAAATATGTGAGTGAATAGACCTTATTAGGCCGTGAGATGAGGGTCGAAAATATGCTTAGAAAACAGATTCCGTAGCACCCCTCGTGTAACTACATAATTTTTACATGAATCTATAGATTATAACTTACTTAGTTAGAATCCACTTCCCCCCAAGCGAAATAGTTGCACAAATTGAAGTATAAGCTCTTCGAAGTTCACGCTTCCTCGTGTTTCGGAATCCATGAACCGCCATTGTTGTGTTGCAAATACGCATGCGCTTGAGCACAAAACACGTAATGCGCACGCGCAGATAAGAAAAACTGATCTCAATCTAGGACTGGACAAGAAAAAATTATGAAATGTGCGAAAACAGGGCTGAAGTAAAACAAGATGACATCGGAATATTTTAAAAATATATGATATTTTTATGTTCTGTGCATTTTAATGGGGTTTACCAAACATTCTGAGCAATGTACCGTATCGAGCCCTCGCCAGGAACACTTCCAAGCCAACATTACAATAATAACTTATTTAAAATATGATGTTATTTTATACTACAGCAATTGCATAACGTTTGCAAGCGAATCTGTTTTTCAGGCTTTAAATAATGACAATCCTAAATATTCTAAAACATGCATACCATAATTTCGCTATCCAATTTAGAAGGGGGGAGGGGGGTTTAATTCTAACTGTTTTGCACGTTTGATTCTCTTTATATATGCAACATCGGGTACTGTGATTATCAGTAAAATATCATAATTATCTTTCAAATACAATACTTTCATGTTTCACGATTTTATACATTAATTAATTGGTTGCAGGAGAAAGGGGTGGGGAGTAGGGGTGGGGGGTGCTAAACAGAGAAATTACGATATACCATAAGGGAGTGGTCATTATTTATGGGGAGGGGGGAGTTGGGAAATGGGGAAAATAAGGATTGAAAACTTTTTTGTCCCCCCCCCTCCAGACTGAAGGCAAACTTTTTGTGCCTCCCCCCTCATAAAAGTAGAAACTTTTCTGACGCCCCCCCCCCCAAGTGTAGATTGAAAAATTAACAGCAATGAAACAGGTGTGCATTGCAGGTAAAGTTAGATATTAGGACAATCTGTTCAATCTAGCTCATGATGTTTTACCCTGGGGCCGTTTGTTCAAAGGTGGGTTAGCGCTAAACCTGGGTTAAAAGTTTAACCTGCTGTTTTAGTTTGTGTATTTCTGCACGTCTGTTTATTTCAAAACTTCAGACAAGTAAACTCCTATCCATCCAGACAAGATTTCTGAAGAAATATTTCCAAATTTATAGACAAGCTGTCAGGAAGTTTGCTTTGAATTTTAGGTTAACCTAGGGTTAAGCTAACCCAGCTTTGAACAACCGGCCCCTGGTGAATATGATTCAACCATATATGATTAAAAAATATATATCATGTGTTACTACTTTGCAATGCAACATTTGTCCTACCATAACGCTAACCCATGACCCGTCTTCATACAGCGAAATGAGATTTTAAGAACTTGTCTGGGGGGTGGGCATCTACAAAAAGGGACCATACTATATTGAGTGTGTAGAGACGACAGATGGTTGTTGGTGACAAAAAGTTTGGTGTGGTATCGTATGTAGTAGTAAGGGGGTCTGGGGGTATTCTCCCCCAGAAAATTTTTTGTATTTTTCCACCCCTAGAACTGAAATGTGAGCATTTTCTGAAACAGATTTTTGGATATACAGCGTTACATTGTGCGTTGATAGACCGAATCTGATCAGTTAAGTGTACTTGCATGGTATGTTTATGTAAATACCACAACTGGGTCACTCAGGGGGTAGAAAGCTTGTTAAACTTAGTGGGCCCAACTCCCACGATCGCGAGGCGCTACCATGGTTGGCGCTGAGCAGTAATTTTGAAAATTTTGAGTCTCTAGATCGTTGGAAATAGCATTTTCAGAGTCTTCTTTTTTGCTATTTGTGATTATAGAAATCAGAACTCTAGACATGGTATTTAAGTTCAAAAACTTTTATGACCCCCCCTTTCTCTGTGTTAAAACTTTTTTGACCGCCCCCTATTTATAAGGGTAAAACTTCGTTTGCCCCCCTCCCATTTCCCAACCCCCCCTCCCCATAAATAATGACCACTCCCTAAATATGACTGAGTGTTACTCGGTGCTCACAATCTTATTTATTTTCTAAATCTTTCCCTGTCAATTTTATTAGTCCAGGTTCGTTGTTTATTATTTCTTTTGCATTTAATCCATTATTAATAAGAATGAACGGAGGTTCAGGCTCTACGCTGACTGGAACTTCATTACGCACTCGGTTTTTGTACCAACCAATTTCGTGTTCAAACACTCGTGTTACGTTGTTGATCATGCACGCCTTTATCACGAACGCCTTTTCGCCAATTCAGTATATTTGTGCAATCATCGTGATCAGTTTATCAAAAAAAACAAAGGAGAAGGAAATAGCTTAGTAGATTTTAGGAGGTATTGTTATGCAACAGCATTAATGGCGTGACGTTTGCAATCTAATTATAATAACTTGCGCATACGACGCGCGCATACCAAGAGAAAGGGAGTTTTTGTCTTATCTATTTAGCATTAACAGCTTTAAATTTCCATAACACACTGTCCGTTCTCACTCAAGTAAATTTAAATATGCTATCCAACAGCATTAAGACGCAAATCGGAACAAGACCAACAGATTACCTGACTCAGACTGAGTAGTTTTCTCTTTATCAAAACATCACTTCTCTCCAAAATGTCCAGAAACGTAGCCATGCAGGATTTTTGGTCAGGGGGCAGCAAAAACGTAGGTGGGCTATGTTTCACTTCTTTTTATAGAATAAATATTCTCAGGGGGCACCAAAATTTTACCAGGGGGGGGGGCGGGTCCCCCGAGTCCCAACATGGCTACGCTAAAGGCGTACATGAACAACGAAATACGAGTGTTTGAAGATTGGTTGGTACAAAAACAGAGTCGTAATGAGGTTCCAGTCAGCGTAACTCAGAATTGGTACGTTGGCCCTTGAGGCAAAGAGTTAACCTCCGTTCTTTGGCTTAATAATGGATTAGACGCAAAGCCAATAAACAACCATTACCCGGACTAATAAAATTAATTGACGGGAAAAGATTTAGAGAATAAATAAGATTGTGAATACCGAGTAATACTTAGTTTATGGTATATAGTCATTTCTTTGTTTAGCACCACTTCTTCCCCGGCCCTCTCCTGTAAGCAATTAATGTATAAAATCGTGGAGTGAAATTGTATTTGAAACTTGAAAGATAATTATGATATTTTACGGAAAATCACAGTACTCGATGTTGCATATTTAAAGAGAATAAAACGTGCAAACAGATTCTTTGTGTATATTAGAAATACCTCCCTCCTTCCCCCCCCCCCAAAAAAAAATAAATGATAAATTACGGTATGAGTTCTAGAACGTTTACAGGACCGTACGCAGAATGTTTTCATCAGCTGGGGGCAGTAAGGCCTATATGCCGAAAAACGTCACAAATATCCAATGAATAATTAATAATGATATTGCCTCCCCCTGCTGTGTACGGCCCTGAATGTTTAGGATTGTGATAATATTTAAAGCCTGAAAAACAAATTTGCTTGCAAACGTTATTTAATTGCTGTAGAATAAAATAACATCATATTTTAATTAATATTTTACATAAGTTGTTATTGTAATGTTGGCTTGGAAGTGTTCCTGGCGAGGGCTCGATACGGTACATTGCTCAGAATGTTTGGTAAACACACACGTTGCTCAGAATGTTTGGTAAAATGCACAGAACATAAAAATATCATATATTTTTAAAATATTCCGATGTCATCTTGTTTTACTTCAGCCCTGTTTTCGCACATTTCATAATTTTTTCTTGTCCAGTCCTAGATTGAGATCAGTTTTTCTTATCTGCGCGTGCGCATTACGTGTTTTGTGCTCAAGCGCATGCGTATTTGCAACACAACAATGGCGGTTCATGGATTCCGAAACACGAGGAAGCGTGAACTTTGAAGAGCTTATACTTCAATTTGTGCAACTATTTCGCTTGGGGGGAAGTGGATTCTAACTAAGTAAGTTATAATCTATAGATTCATGTAAAAATTATGTAGTTACACGAGGGGTGCTACGGAATTGAACATTTTCGACCCTCATCCAACGGCCTATATGCGTAATGACGTCACAAGGCTTGATGCCCGCGAGGAATGCTGGTCTTAGTGGTCATCGCCCGGGAAAATTAAGCAATTCAAAATGGCCACTATCGAAATTTCCTGGGCGATGACTACTAAGACCAGCATTCCTCTTGGGCACCAAGCCTTGTGACGTCATTATGCATAAGGTCTACATATTACATCCATGCAGAGACCAACCTCGTACTGGGTACGAGGTTGTGCAGAGACCATCTAGAAAGCAAAATAGATTAGAATACGTATTCCTATGAGTATGAAGTGTTTTGCGGACATTACAACTAAAACAACTATTCCTGTCAAATTTTAATTGCTGTGTATGATCTCAAATGATCCAAAAGCAATATATGTCTACTTTTTTTAAGTAATGGAGTAGAAGCTAAAATATATTAATGCAGTAGTAGGTCTAGTAGTATATTGCAATCTAATTCACTTGTACAATATTTTGGTGAAAATGCTACAGTGTTAAATCAATCAAATATCCTTTTACATTGCAATATGCGTTCCATTGCCAACTCTGTCTGCATTGTATAATAATTATTTAATAATAATTTATATTTCATTGCAAAATGGTAATTTTTATTCCATATAACGTGATCAATAATCAACCAATTAAATGGCCAGAATTTAATATGGTGTTAATATAGTGCATGATAACTACCCTGGCCCAGAGGTTTTTTAAGCTTTGGCAAACGCGAACTGATTTCGCCAGAATCTAATTCTCTTCGCTATAGCGAAAAATAGAGCGACGATCCCTCTGGTTTACAGGGTACATCTGTACATGATAACACACTACATGTACAATAGTGGATGCGGGAAGGTTCTAGTATTGTGACTATAATTGGGCGATTTGTTTTATAAAGTTTAGAATTAATAAATACTCATAGTACTTTATTAAATTTAATTGAAGCGGGAAAAATTCGCATTAAATTGGGCGATTTGTATTATAGAGTTTGAAATTTATAAATAATCATAGTGCTTATGAATTATTTCTTATAACTTTATAAATCAAATTTTCCTTGCCTTTCTATCAATTCGTCCACAGCTTAAAGATAAACTCGGAAATGTGGGGAAAATGCACGTACATTAAAAACAAATCAAAACGCATCCGGTTGTTTCAGTGGTTTCGGTGGTTTCGTTTCGTTCTGGGTTTTTGCACATGCCCGAATAAAGACGCGCAAAAAAATTCGCCCGGTAAGTGAAGAAGGAACTGTGGCGTCAGCAGTAATTTTCATAGGCCAGAATACACAAACATATGCCGACAAATCCCATCGTGTATTGCTACAAAGTGAATAAAGATATACTTACTGTTATTCTCTGTTAATTCACTGAACATCGTATAAAAACAAAGCTTTTTCGTACAGGACTCTTGATTTTCAACTTGAACCTGGAACGTTGTTAAATTTTGAGGTTTTTCATTTTGTAACATTCGAATATCATCATCGATAACTTTCTGCGCTGACAACAATTCTTCAAGCTTCGAATTTTCCAACACATCATTTGTACGTCGAAGTGACTTTTCAACTTTTTGCAGATAATTTGATATCGTTTCAGCGTGAACGGAAAGCTTTTGGCAAGCGGGATCGTAAGCTTTATCAACTTCTTGAATTTTGTCCTCCAAAATCTTGTTTATGCAATCTGCAACAGTTTTCATCATTTCATTTTTCTGAGCGGTGTGTTTCACTTTGATATCTTTCGAAGTTTTCTCGTACGTTGCCTTGCTATTATTGACAGTTTCCAATGCCTGAAGAAAGTGAAGAAAGGAGAAACTAATCATTTACTGTAACACTGATCTAGTGATCCTAAACATTAATAAATATCGCCTACGTGTGTACACGAGGCTGGACGAATTCAGAGCTATACGAAAACTGTTGTATATTGTCAGCTGCATGTTCTTGAATAAATCTATTTTCATGTATCCCGAATGAACGTACTCGAGATGCAAAATTGCCGATATTATACCAATTTGAGCGCGACCCGGTTGCCTAAAGCTCTAGTCAAATGAGTATGAGAGTTGGTAAGCGAGAGTTTTGCATGATAATTTTCTCAACTTTCAGTGAACTGGTCAGACGAGAACAACAGTTGCATGAGAGTTACATGAGAGTTGACTGGATATTACCGCGCGTGCATAGCGAAAACGTCTGACCAGTTCATAGTCGTCAAAATTTGAACCGGCTGGTCCAGCTCAAAGTTGATGAGAGCCGATGAGAGTTTGCGGTCAAACGCGAGTTGCAGCTCTGATCAACTCTCATACCGGGACATAAGCCCGCGGATCAAACGAGGATGAACGAAGCTGGTCAAGAACTCTAAATAGAGTGAACATGTCAATGTAAGGAAATATAGTACACGTTTCCCGTCATGCATCGGGCCATTTCTTACTTTGTTATGTCGTGATCAAGTTCGAAATTTCTGTGAGTAAAAAGATTGAGTAATTTGGACGCCACCTAAATTACAACTTCCTCTTCGGAGGAGAAAGATTTTGGTCCAAATTCAACTAAATTCTCCCTTGTTTGATTGCCATCAATACAATACTACATATCTGTTTTCTCTTAAAATTAGAGAGGAGAGGCGCGAAATTTTCTCAGCCCGCGTCTGATTTTCAATTTCCTAATTGCCTTAACTGCAAGTTCACCACCGACTGGACGATATGAGTGAGACGAACCTATGTAGTATTTCTTTAGAATCAATTGAAGTAAACCACCACCACAAGTTAGCGTTGTATAGTACTCAGGGCCGGAGATACGGGGGGGGGGGTGACACCCCCCAGAAATTTTATTCAGTTGGCAGGACTGCTATTCAGTCGGTAGGACTGCTATTTGGGTTAAATATTTCCGCGCAAAGGGCAAGATATTTGGGTTTTTTGGGTAAATTTCTGAATTTTGGTCTGAAAAATTGAGGTAAAGTCACTGGAAAGCATTTGCAACGTATTCGTCCGGAAAGTCTTTTTCCCTAAAAACATGTCGACGGGGGATTGTTGGTCTCCGAAAAACATTTTCTCGCCCGAGCTCCCGTCAACCTCTCGGCGGCCCTGTTCGTCAGTCCGTTGAAATGACCTTACATCCCCCTGAAGAATTCTCTGAGGACGGCCCTGAAGAATTCTCCGAGGACGGCCCTGAATTAGAACTGTCTACCCACCTTATTTCCTTCTTGTAACATTGCGTCAATGCTTGCGCATTTTGACTTCACATCGTCTTGTTGTTTTCGATAGGTTTCGTGAATCGCGACGCACGTATGGCCTGGTTTCGTGTGAACGGACGCCACGCATTTCGTGCAAATCAGTTCCTTACATGTTTCACAATAAAATTTCGGGATGGCGTCTTTATGTTGAGTGCAGCTTAACGCTTCCGCTCCGATTTTCTGCTGCTCATCACGATTGATTATTTCACTAATGGAGAGCAATATATGGTTTTGCATTATCGGCCATATATCATGAGAACCGCAACAGGATTGGCACAAGAGCAGTTCACATTCCATACATATTGTAATGGCGTGTTCTTTGTGACAAATAGTGCACATAGTCATAGAAGCTTCTTCATTTCGATTTGGACCAACGGCAGTCAGCAGCTTAGGGATAAATTCATGATTGGGCAATCCAGCGACGTTTTCGTCCGGCTTCAATGTAGTTGTGGATCTGCAAGTTGGACAGTTCAACTTCTTGCCTTCGCCATCAACGTTTTCCTTGTCTTGTGTCGTCAAGTTCTCAACACAGGCTTTGCAGAATGAATGAGAGCAAGCCAAAATCTTCGGTTCGTTGATGGTTTTATTACAAGCACCGCAAAGAAGAAGATTATGAATTTCATCAACCGAGCGAGAGCTAGTTAAGGAAGCAGCCATCAGATTGTAGAACGATTTACAATTTATTAATTTCCCCTTACAACCGATGATCGCATCGGCAGTAACTAAGTAATGTGGTTTAAACAATCAGCAAAGACGATGTTGGTCGTCTCTACTTTGAATCCTGTTTGTCTGGGAGTATTCTGATGCTTTTATATAAGGCTCTTATAAACGTATCAGATTCGCTGATTTCCAAGTATTGCACCCCACTGTTTACTTGGAATTCCGCAATATTACTTTCGGTTGTGAATACTAGTATAGACATATCAGCAGATAAAACTTGACTATTTACAGCTTATATTGGATACAGACTACAGTAATTTTATGTTTTATTCTTCTCTGCTACTGAAGTGAAATAAGCAAGCTACCACGCAGTCAGCGTGTCACAATGCGCACAAGATAATGGTCATATCATTTGTCGAGTTCCAAGAATTATTAAATGCACCAACTGTTTTACTTGGAATTCTATACCCTATCACCATTATTAAGTTTGGTTGTAAATATAAACAACAAGTCTTAAATCGATATTTTTTGGTTTATTTCTCTGAGATATAATTTGAAAAACTAAGCACTGCTACCAGCGGCACATGATATAAAATGTGATATTCATACGGTTCGTTCACCAAGAAATGCAATGTTCACACTGTTAAATTAATTTCCTTGCCAGCTATACCTTGCTCACATGCACGTACCACAGAATAGCGCTTCGCATACGAAGTTTCCATTTTATTTTTACTTTATTAATACTTAGTTTGTTGTCACTGAAAATTTATAAGAGAGAGAATTTACTGTATCCTATATACGTGGTACAAGAGTTCAAATGTCAGGGTTTCAGCGGCGACTTTACCTTTACAACTGAAAGTGATATAGTGTAAATTCCGAGTAAAACAGTGGCCACTGGAGTGCGATACTTGGAACTCGAACAAATGACTTTATTTGACTTTATTTGATCTGAAAGTGATATATTGTAGTTTCCACTAGTAAAACAGCTCTAGGGGGCAATTTCTCAGTGACCTCACCAATAATAATCAGACATACTGTATACCATTCACGTATATGCACCATGCATGGTACCTTTTTAGTTCGCATCTGGAAGACGGAGAAGTAAAATAGTAGACGATAAATTATCTTGCTGTATATAGACATGGCGTACCCAGTGTATGTAAATTCAAATATTAAGGCTTTAGATGTAGGAAAATATCTATTTAAAACTGATCATGAAAGTGATATCGTAACTCCGAGTAAACACTGCAGTGCCGTTCTTAAAACTGTACAAATGTATGACTCTTATCTTGACTCAAACGCTAGCCGCTATAGCATATAACTTGACAGAAGAGCCAATATAAACGTACGGTATATAAATCGAATACTGAAAAATTTGAATATTATAGGATTTAATTAATTAAACAGGAGTGTTTATTGAACAATCGAAAGTGCCGGATATTGCGCAAATTCTAAGTAAAACAGTGGGGTGCAATACTTGGAAATCATCGAAACTAATGCCACTGATAAGTCAACAATGACTGTCTGGAATTTTAGCCTAGAGTAGTAGTGCTGGTTCGGGCACCGTTAAATTGGCTACTGCTGAAGTGAAGCAGTCACCTTATGAGTACAATCTGATGGCTGCTTCTTTAACTATCTCTCGTTCTGTTGATGAAATCCAAAATCTTCTACTTTGTGGTGCTTGTAATAAAACCATCAACGAACCCAAGATTTTGTCTTGCTCTCATTCATTCTGCAAAGCCTGTGTTGAGAACTTGGCGACACAAGACAAAGAAAACGTTGATGGCGAAGGCAAGAAGTTGAACTGTCCAACTTGCAGATCCACAACTACATTGAAGCCGGACGAAAACGTCGCTGGATTGCCCAATCATGAATTTATCCCAAAGCTGCTGACTGCCGTTGGTCCAAATCGAACTCAAGGAGCTTCCGTTTGCTCTTACTGCCAAAAAGAGCCTTCGATTACAATATGTATGGAATGTGAAATGCTGGTGTGCCATGAATGTCATATGATGCACGAGCGTTGGCCGCCGTTGCAATGCCATATAATGCTCTCCATTGGTGAAATAATCAATCGTGACGAGCAACAGAAAATCGGAGCAGAAAAGTTAAGCTGCAGTAAACATAAAGACGCCCTCCCGAAATTTTATTGTGAAACATGTAAGGAACTGATTTGTATGAAATGCATGGCGTCTGTTCACACGAAACCAGGTCATGCGTGCGTCGCGATTCATGAAATCTATCGAAAACAACAAGACGCTGTGAAGTCAAAATGCGCGACCATTAACGCAATGTTACAGGAAGGAAATAAGGTGGGTATAGAAGATAATTCCATACAATGCTAACTTGTGGTGGTGGTTTACTTCAATTGATCCTAAAGAAATACTACTATATAGGTACAAGTAGTTTTTCTTTAGCACTCGTATCGTGCAGCAGATAGTGGTCAACCGGCATTGTTTTCAGAGAGAGAAAATAAAGATTTTTTGTGCACATTATGTGTTATAGTCTTCAAGTCTTGTATTTAATAGAAGGTGAAGAAGAAGATGCAGGTTTCGTTCCATTTTTTCCTACAAATACTACACTTCTGAAGTCGACTACGGACCACCATCTGTTGCTCGCTGGAAAAAATCAATAAAATGAGACCAAATCACTGATCCTTTCACTCACAAAAATGTTGTAGCAAACTTCGCGAAATCTCAAGTATCCTGTGCTTATCACAGGCACCTAATTCGCCACGAAACGTTTTATGTATGTCGGGGCGTTCGTACTATATACAGTTGACATGTTCAATTCTACTGTAACCGTCAATACACGCTTCTGGAAAGTGCGCATTTGCTATAGAGCCTCGTTTTCGCGATTGAGACGTCAGGCTTTGATGTAATTTCCTGGGGCCGGTTGTACGAAGGCCGGATCAGTGAGCTCCATATATATCTGGAGTAGGAACTTGGTTGCTCAAAGTGAAGCCAGTTTCGTGTTAACCGCGCATACAAAAACAATAGAAAGGGACTGGAACTGACGTCCAAGAGCTCCTTCAATTTCCGCCATCTTGGCAAGGAGTGTGTTGAAATTTCGTATTTTGACTTCGATTTAAAGAATAATATTGTGATTTTATGAACTGAAAACTTGATTAGTGATACGGTCCATTAGAAAAAACTGGAATTAGCTGGGGAAAATGGTATAAAAACTGTTTAAGACCTTCAGAGCTATTGGACGTCAATGGCCGCCATCTTGGCTTCACTCATTGAACCACAGTATAAGGACTGAGCAGTAAGTTCACTCGGGGGTGCAAACAGTGAACTCTATATATATATATATATCTGGAACGATAACATTCAGTCATTTGATTGCGAAAAAAATGAAGCCTCGATACCAGTCTTTCACGCGGATTGGACGTCAGTCTCAGTCCCTCAAACGTCAGACTTACGCGGATTGGACGTCAGTTTCATTCCCCCTCTGCAAACCGTTGCACGGCCAGTATAAATTTGAACGCAATCACGAAAAAAAAATTAAAAACATGGCCAACTCAATGCAATACATTGTAGGAGCAAACAGTTTTTCTCCTAAAATTTACTGCATTGAGTTCGCTGTCGGAAAAAAGTCGAGGAAAACTTCCCCGTGTGGAGAAAAGAATCACTTTTTCAAATATATTGTGTCGTACTGTCGTTCTGGATGCACAAGGAAAGAGATATTCTTGCGAGAAAATTTCATTTCACAGGTAGGTAAATTGACTTGCAACTGTGACTTTGCCGTTGCCATTTTTCGCGATTGTTTGAATTGTTTTTAGTTTACCAGTTTTATAGTTTTTAGTCAATACACTGGTACGTTATTTTTTAAAGAATTTATGTGTGATCGGAATTTGCCTGCCAGCAAAATGCAAATGAATATGTACGTGTGTTTGAATATAAATTAGACCATATGGGCTTAGTAAAAAATTATTTTAATAACTACGTTTCGGAGTATAACTCCATCTTCAGGTTAATTAAAAGTGAATAAAGATATAAAAACTGTGATAAAAACTTTCAAAACAATTACAAATTTTATATAAGTGATTTTTAATACTGTAAGAAAGTTCTTGAACAGTTGATGACGAAGACAATGACGAATCAGTTATGTCGTGATTTTTTTGTCGGCTTCACTTTTCGCTCGCTGTTATCATTCCAGATATCTATATATATAGAGTTCACTGGGTGCAAAGTGTATGTGTCCAACGGAATCATCTGACTTCCGGTTTGGCCGCCATGTTGTTAGTAAGGAAAGAGGAGTGAAGATTGTACTACAGCAACATGGTTTTTACACTTAAATGGCTATATTTTCCCGTTTTCTTGCACCGGTCGGCTTCAGATTGATAAAAAACAAATAGAGAAGGGTACTGCTTAATTTTAGACGCGTTTGGAGTAAAATAAACAAGCAAAAATGCAGAAAATCGCGACGAATGTGAGGTGTTAGGAGTGGGCTTAGCCGCGCTGAATGTTTACCAAATTAAATTGGCGTTATTTCACGGTTTTGTGGACGAATTCTTCTTCCTATGCCTACCACTTGTAAAAGAAAGGTAAATTATCAAATTTTAATGGTTAACTGGTAATTCAACGCAAATAGAATTTAAGCTGTTTCAATGACAAACTGTGCTCTTGTTATAACTATATATTATAAGGTTGCTTAGCAGCAGTATTTTGGTCTATAGCTTGTTTTTCTGTGTTCATCTTTACAATATTTTTAGTATGACTAAGTATGGTCCTCTCAGTTCTGTGCCAAACAAAGTTGATCGGTTTTTGTTCTCTCTTCTGAGAGGCTACCTGAACAAATTATGGCAATAGCTATATAATAACCACTGTATAGGCACTTCTAAAGTTCTAAATTGTCAATATAAATGTCAAACTTAGTAAAAATATGAACGATTATGATTGAAGTCATGTCGATTAAAGATGCGACACATTCAAATATTTTTTGCCCTTTTTTTTCTTAGTTGTTCGAAAATCACAGTTGGCAAATTTCAGTGAGTAATATATTCTCATTCTCAAGAACAGCTTCTGGACATATTCCAGCAGGAATTCTTCACAGTACTGGAATGGCACAGGTTCTGTCTTGAGTAACCTGAAGATATCACTTCCAACAGAGGAACGCCTTCGTATAAATAGAGAAGTTTTCGAAAAAGGCTGCTTCAAGTTGAACGACATACTCCAGGAAACTAGCTGAAGGCACATGCAGACCTCCAAATTGGGATTTGTCTTGGTCATATATCTTTAAATAACAATCTAATGTCTTGTTGTCATCCAGATCATTTGACTCAGGTTGAGCAGCTGTGTTTTGTGAACATTTATGGAGCAGATAGCCAGCAACATGTGATAGTGTGATACTATCACTCTTCAAACAATTAACTGCTGAACACCACACGTTTACTTTTCTTTTAGTGTTAGATTTCTTTTCAGATGAAACTAAGTTCTCTACATCTGCCATTACCGAGCAGAATAAAGGCAGGCCTAGGGCATTGCCCACTTGCAAGATTTTTGGTGGGGGTGTCACAGCCTCTTTTAACATATAGATTGGGGGACATGTCTCAATGTCTACATGGCTTGACTCGGTTGTCTCAGAATCCTAGTACTGATCTGCCACCCTATAATGTATGCTATTAGTAATATATATATATATACATATATAGGCCCTCCAGGGGGTTTATTACTCCTACAGTACTACCTGTGTTGTGTTTGCAATGAAATATGGTACTGGTAAGCATTGTAATCTGTAGACAAAGATACTCTAATGTTAAATTATGAAAAAAAAAAAATAATAATGAAACAAATTTTATATAATAAAGCAAATATAAAGAAATATATTTCAATTGATATTGTATGTAGCAGTCAATGTGACATTTGCTAAAGATATAACAAGAACAGAACACAAGTCACAACACAACAAACATCAAGTTGATAATTTAATCAATATGCCACTGGCATTAATAAAACCAGGGTGCTGAACCACTAGCTACTGGCCTTTGGCCATACAAATCTGCAAGGGTGACGGAACACATAATTATCACCTGCTGATATCAACATGTAAGTGGCAATCATAGGTGTATTCTGTGTGAAGTTCATACAGAAGATCAACAGTTATACCTCGACTTTTATTGTCAATTGTATTGAGAATTTTGAAAATCCATGCCAGAGATCTTCGTACGAAGATCTGGGTGGAAATACTTAACCCTTTAAGTGGCAATGCATCCTACTTTATTATTTTACTCTGTCTAATGCCAGACGATTTACTCATCAGGGGAATGTGCTGCCACAGTGCCACTCAATGGGTTAAGAGCAAGATTGTCTGACATTTGGGGGCATTGCTAATCAATGGGTTAAAATTCAATTCAAAATTTAAAAAAAATTAAACAAAAAAAAAGTTTAAAAAATTTAACACTGAGAGCAAAAAAATAAACAATATTAAAAAAATTTAACACTGAGAGCACGAATTTATAAACCTTTCCCTAGATGTATACACAGTGGCATCATTCTAGTTTTAATATTTTGCAATGCAAATGTGTCTTGAATATCATTACTTCCAAACAATAGTTTATACATTTGTCTCTTAGTAAAGTTGTACATGTTCCATCAGTGTATTCTCTAGACAGCAGTAAACACAATCTTTTGCAATCTTTTCCATCAGTGTATTCTCTAGACAGCAGTAAACACAATGTTTGTGACAACAACTTCGACTTTCTTCTTATACACGTTTTCAACATGATTGAAACCTTTGTCTCACTTGTTAAGACCAACGGTAATAATAAACCAGCTTCGCCAAATATCCCGCACTCCTGACAGCTGACATTCGTCGAAATTTTCCGCCTTTTTGCTTGCTTATTTTACTACAAACGCGTCGAAAACTAAGCAGTATCCCCCTATATTTGTTATTTTATCCATCTGAAGCCAATCGGCACAAGAAAACCGAAAAATATTGCCATTTAAGTGTAAAAACCATGTTGCTGTAGAACAGTTCTAAACAAATCCCACTCCTCTTTCCTTACTAACAACATGGCGGCCAAACATGCGCGGCATGACATGCGCAAGGACAAAAACTTCAAAGGTTCCGACCCGAGTGAGATTACTGTTCAGTCCTTATACTGTGCATTGAACTATAAATAAACTGGAAGGCTAACTCAGGGGGGGAAATTGAAGCCAGTGCATTTTAGTTTTTCTGAGCTATGAGCAGAAATACTCAACACTGAACGTTGGGCTATATATCAAATTGAAGCTATTGAAAAACTCTATTTGGTGTAGAAATTTCAAGACTTTAGCTAAAAGGGAAATATTGAAAAACTACAAACATAATTACCGATAATTTGCCGTTTTGCAGTTGTTTTTGTATTTTTAAAATATTTTTCTTTTCGCTGAAGTCTTGAAATTTCCACACCGAATAGCAATTTTCAATAGCTTCAATTTGATATATAGTCCGACGTTTGGGGTTAAGTATTTCTGCTCATAACTCAGAAAAACTATTTTGGCTTCATCAAATCATAGGCCTTTATCATAGCAGTTAGCCTTCCAGTTTATTTATAGTTCAATGGCTTCACTTGGCTTCACTTTTCTCATTGACCGAATGACTGAAGTTCTTACTCCAGATATATATATAGAGCTCACTGGGCCGGATAGCGCTATCCACCGGATAGTGATTTTTTCAAGCTTTGTTAAATCAGTCGTTGATTGGTATAACTCGTATTAAAGGCACAGTGCACCCAAATTCGCGCATGCGCATTGCGTTCAAAAACTTGAAAAACTTAATGTTGTAAATCAAGTTTTAAAAATCAAAATGGCGTCGTATATACAGTCTACAGTACTAATGGGTAAAGAAAGTTTTACGTGTTTAAAATCAGTTATATAATGATGTATATTTGTGCGAAATCAAGGCTAATAATTTGATCTCCGGATGTTCCGAATTATCACAGTTATTATGTATGCGAAGTGTAATTTGATACCCGTCTGTGCAGATGAAGCATCGAGCGGTATTGGCCGAATTTCACATTTTTACATGCGTTCAATGCTATGGAAAGCTCTAAAACTGACAGTGACGATAACTTGCGTTGTCCTACTGAGCCAGTGAGCCTGGCCCATCTTTTCAAGCGCCTGGAAGTGGTACGCACGGTGGGAAAAGACGTGGTTCTGGGAGGAAACGCAAACGTGAGGGAGGCTACCTAGTACCTAACGAGAACGTACGTACGAAGTGCGATTTGGAAGACCATTTCCCTGCACAATGATGTCTATGACCTGTGGATGGATGTACAAGAAATTTATCAACTACAATGACAAGTCGAGTAAGCCATCATCAAGCAACATCAACTCGAAGGCAATTAAAAACATAACTTTTAAATTCAGGTATTTATACTTTTTTCTCATACGTATGCCTTTTTAATACTCGCCTATGTGTTTTAAATTTATGAATGATATATACAGTGAACTGAATATATAATAGTTTATATACAAGATTTTAATACTACTGCATGTTCCTATTTTCTATTGTCACTGTAAATATTGGGCCTATAATTGGCCCTATTGGCTATACCCATCATAGAACTCATGGCGGTATTTGCTTTCCTGTCCTTGCTACCATTTCATCTCGAATATTTTTCTTGTTTTATCTCTTGAATTATACTTTTATATGATTTATTACTTCATAAATTCCTATATGTATTGGGCCATTTAAATATATACCCCCCCCCCCCTATTGAGGGGTCGCTTCATAATCCCCTTAGGATATAAAAATTTAGGACCCCCTTGGGTGTGATTTTTTGAAGCTACCCATGGTTATATTTAAACCCCCTTTAGGATATCATCTTTGCCCCCTTGGATATCAGTATGGAGTATGGAGCCGTCGTTCGAGTAAGAGAGCTAAAAGATGGAAACCAGTGATTGTTGAGAAGAATGACTGAGCTACATTCCAATTCTGAGTGCTCATGTGTTGAAAGAGGCAAGCAAAGAGTTTCTGTAGAAAGTAAAACCATCCACATCTGATCAAGATCCAACAAAAATAGCCCTAACAATTGCCAGTCTACCTGCTCTGTCAACAGTGGATTTTGTAAAAGAACGTACCACAATATTTTAGATTACAGTAGATATACAACCTTTTCAGGCTTTTGATAATTACGTCATTTGGCCTGGGAGCCTTGCTCTCATGAATCGTGAGCCAATCACTTTGCATAATTTATTAATGAAAGCGAGGCTCCAAGACCAAAAAGTATGTGTGGCATAATTATCGAAAGCGTGTATTGTCAGAACTACTGAGTACTTTGATAAAAAAACAGTGCATAATACTTGCTCTGAAAAAATGTAAACAGTCATTTTAAATTGTTTATTTGTACATTCAACTAATAAATTTCAGGAATGATCTCTCTTGAAGATGACTACAATTTATTAGTGAAAACATACAAATAAACAATTTTGAGGATGTTTTTAAAATGCTTCCAGAGAAATTATTGTGCTGTATATAATTCTATGGGTTTGTGTCAAAGAAACTATGGGTGAAATTTCATATAAGGATCCCAAAATGACATCACATAGGGTTGTGTATGGGCTGGGTGAGAGTAAGGGTTATATTTTGGGATTCTTATATAAAACTTCATCTACAATTATGCCTCCACAATCAAAGATTTATGAATAAAGAGAGCAGATATATACAATTTCTATTTGTGAATGTACATAATTTATTTGTGCTATATTCAATAATTGATAAAATGGACAAATGTGAAATGCTCTCCATATCATAGAAACAAAATAACCATATTGTTCTACATAAAACCCTGACTGCCCACCCCCTTGACCCTCTAGGTCAAGGCATATCTCTATATCTGGTATGATGTCCATCAGGTGAAGGATGTTTTTCGAATTTTCCACACACGGCATGCATGGCTATGTATGTACTGACACACTGTCGATATGCTGCATGCCTCATCACTCTATTGTCATATGTTTGTGTAAACACATAGGTATCTGCCAAAACTTTATGGAGGTGGCCAATTTATCTGCGTCCAAGCAAATGTTTTGGAATGTGCAAGTGTTCCACTCTGAAACAATGTATTTCTTTATAGCACACCCTCTTTCTGTCTGTTGGCATCTCTGCAATATCCACATACACAGAATGGTGTATTTGACTCCTCAAATTATTACACTGAATCATGCTGTAGCTGCTCCACCAAATCTTTTAAAACTAATGCTCTGGACTTAAAACCCTCCTTTGCTACTTTTACAAGAATCTGGTTATCCAAACCATCAATTATCTCCTAAGTAACAAAGACAACTAACAGTTACGATATATTATATAAAGGCACTTGAGTTCACACATACAAAAATTCTGTACCAATATTTCTTGACCTTGGTATGGTACGACCCCTTTGAATCATTGTTTATTCATAAAGATTAAAGCATCATACATGATATAACGTATGCATTCATCACTGTATAAATATGCAGCTTGCTCTGAATATCAAGATCAAATCAAATACAAATATTCAAAATCAGAGAAACTCATTGATATTTCAACTCAAATACAGTACATACCTTTTATATATTTTTACATTACTCCTCGCACCACAAGTGCATGCGCTTCCTCTGCAATGACAGCCAGTCACTTTTCCATTCGTAGAGGTCTTTAACTTGACCATACATTGCGATTTACAGCCACAGTTTGATATCCTCGGTTGAGCGACCATACGTGTAAACAGTGTTTTAGTAGTGTTACATAATTATTAATTGAACCGAATTTTACAGCAATTTGGATACTTTTCTTTTTTACATTAATATCCAAAAATACAGCCTTACATTGCTAGATTCATCTAAATCAGATGTTTCGTCCTCAGGCGATGAACTCATGGCGATATAGCTTCTTTCGTTTTGTAAATTTAAAGAGTCAAACTCTTCGTTTGCCGCCATAGTAATACTAATAATAATATTAAGTTGCGTGTAACCTGAGCCGCTTGTCATATCAATCAATCAACAGCGGTATTGTCGGTCACGTGGGGTGCTGCACTGTGCCTTTTGACGTTTTTCACACAAAAAAGGGCACTTTGCTCCCGGAAAAAGGGCAAAACTTGGGGAGGGCCAAGGCCGGCCCCCCCTGCCTCCCCCCTGGTTCCTATGCCCCTGATTATATACATTAATGTGAAATTTTTCTTACTATATAGTATGATACTCATCCAGTTGGGACTCTGAGGCTCATCCTGTCGGACCCTGACAAGGATTTTTTCCATGATGAGCCACCACCTGAATGCTGTGTCAATAAAAGTAAGGGGCCGATTACATGGAGCATTTTCAACCCCGGGTTGAACTCAGCCCTGTTTACTGGGTTGAAATTTCAGCCCTGTCTGTAATACAAAACTCTATCAAAATCAAACGTGCGATTACATGACAAAATTTTCAACCCAGGGCCAAGTTCAACCCCGGGGTTGAAATTTTAACCCTGCTTCAGCTAGCAGGGTTGAAATTTGAACCCCGGGATTGAACTCAGCCCTGGGTTGAAAAGTTTGTCATGTAATCATTTCAACCCAAGGCTGAAATTATTCATGAGTTATTCGAGCATGCGTGGTAGTGACTATTTATTACAAGAAAACAAAATGAGGGCTTTTTTACTTCTGGAATCAATGCCGAGAACGTATAGTATAGCGTTTCAACCCCCGGGTTGAAATCGTCCATGTAATCGCAAAAAAATTTCAACAGGGCTGAGTTCAACCCCGGGGTTGAAAGTTCTCCATGTAATCGGCCCCTTAGGTTGGTTTGTTTCTTACTAATGTACGTTGAGTATGATGAAACTGCATCTTTGGAATATACCTCATGGTTATACCTAAAATATACTTCAGTGGTTTCACATTGTCGTGTTCACCATATAAAATTATAGCACCATTATTAATTTTCTATTAGTCCTCACAAATAAAACATCCCCTCTCTAGGTCCTCTATTTTGACAAATAAATTTATCAAATTAATCCCTATATTGAACCCCATGAACCCCCTTTTTCCCTTATAATAACAATAAGAACACATAAACGTGTACACATTAGTTACTGCCTTTTAGGTAAATCAATTCTTGGGTTTCAATTATGTGATATTTTAGCATAATCTGAGTGGGGGTCAGTCATTGATAAGGACACATCTAACATGTTTGTGTGATGTTACTCTGAGTGTATATCCACACCGGGCAGGCTTGAAAAATATGCCTGGCCACGGCGGGATTCGAACCTACGACCTTTGGAATACTAGCCCAATGCTCTTCCATCTGAGCTACGCGGTCAGGTCGGTTCGAGTGTGCGATATTTCGGAACAAAGTCACTTAGTTCCTTCGATATCAGTGTAATCTATATAATAATCATGAAATCTATATAATAATCATGAAATCTGCTGTGTTGGTGTAATGTACTGTACTCAGGTGACATCACAGAGTAGAGACATACAGAGCCGTAACTGACCGTCGTGAACACTGCGGAAGCTTACGTTTTCATGTACCCACTTTTTTCAGTGCAAAAGATCGGGCAAAAAATGATCAACTGCGCGTGCTCAGTAAGTTTAAAGTGAGTCGTCATCAGGTCATCATCCAATCAGTTGCATGCATCTAGTAACTTGCCGAGCATGCGCACAAAAAAAGTGGGTACACTAGTTACAACTCTGTATGTCTCTCCTCTGTGCTCCCATGCAATAGTTTTTGTAGTAATCAACGGTAGGGTTTAATTAAATTAAATAATTTAAAATCCTATTCGTATCATAATCTTAGCTCAGTTAACTATAAAATTGCTTAAATTCCACCCACCCCACCCCTCAATGATGTTGCACCACTTTATCATAGCTTAGTAAAAAAAACAAAAAACAAAAAAAACCCAAAAAAACAAAAAAAAACCCAAAAAAACAAAAAAAACAAACTGTATTATAGCCTGTTGTTATATTGCATGGGTCATTATCAAGACAGACTAGCATGGATGCAATGCTCGCAGCGTTTACTGAACAGTAGAATAGTTACTACTTCTAAAATATGTGGTCGGTTTTGGAGAATAAAAAATTTGGTTTTGGGGATGGAGTGCTCCCATAGGTCACCCTCATCCCATAGACTCACAAATCGATGTACCATACATTAAAAATGTTAGATTGAAGTATAAAATGCCCAACATGGGGACCCAGACCCCCTGAGGGCATTAATTGCATTAGAGTCCAACATGGGGACCCAAACCCTCTGAGGACCGCCCAACATGGGGACCCAAACCCCCTGAGGGCAGTAATTACACTAGAGTCCAACATGGGGACCCAAACCCCCTGAGGATTGCCCAACATGGGGACCAAAACCCCCTGAGGGCATTAATTACACTAGAGTCCAACATGGGGACCCAGACCCCCTGAGGACAGCCCAATATGGGGACCCAGACCCCCCGAGGGCATTAATTAGAGTAACTGTGAGTCTGTGGGGTGACACTTTGACCAGTTGAAAGTATATATTCGGAGCATTTCTCCCCAACAACCCTTCTCCCACAACATTGTGTGTGCTTTACTGTCTCATATATAGCTCTCTTAAATATTAACTAACCGAATTGAGGCATTAATTTACGATAACTTTTACGATATTTTTAATTACCGTCATTAATTCTTCACTAAAACGTTTGTTGGCACTTTTTTGTTGGATTCTAATTATTTTTGAATAATGTATGTAAACTATTTGTTTTGTATTTAATTCACTTAAAAATTCGTTAAAATTGATCTATTTTCAGTATTTTGGTGTCATATGAAACAAATAATGAATGTTTTCATTCGTGCAACAGTAAAACTACTCCACTCGGCTGTCGCCTCGTGCATGGAAAATTCCATCTTTCACCTCATGAAAATATTTTTGCATTCCACTCGTAAACATTCATTATTTGTATAATATTTTATGAATTTTCAGCCTCTGATGGTAAATGTATATCTCAGTGTCATTACATGGATGCACAGGAATTGTCATGGCCTATACAGTCTCGCACTCTTAGTATGATGACTTTTTGTAAAGAAAGATGGCAGAGTAATCAGCAATCAGTTAATCACCCTGAAGAATTTATAACATTGAGGTATATAGGTTTATAATTTCAGAAAAACGAATATTTTTTAATGTTATTTTAATAGATCTACGTACTGTAGTACTAATCTTTCAGGCCTGGAATTATTCATATATATATAATTTACCGGCTGGGAGGTCCGTACTTAAAAAATATTTTCCCGACGTCTCAGAAGTGACCGGAGACCGAAGGTCGAGGGCACTTCTGAAACCGAGGGAAAATTTTTTCAAGCTACGGACAGTAGGTTTAACCCCCCATACAATAACGGAAGTGATGTCATCAAGAATGCACAGAGCGAGGTAACGTTGTATATAGGGTGTCCGTATTTTCCCGCCAAACGTCAACAGGGGTGTGCGTCCAAAAGTTCGTACTTAGTGTACGCCCAAGAGTTCGTACTTAGCGTGCGTACAATGTGTTACGTCATGCCTATATCTTTTACGTGATTGGTTGAACGCGAGTAATCAGGGAGTATAAGTTGAGGGTTGAGTGATATTTGTTACTCTGTTTACAACTTTCATGGAGAGGACTTCTATGGTGGCCTATGAGTGCCATAAGAGTTTCCAGTACTTTTTTAAAGATTCCTAGCTTTTTTTCTATTTATCGATTTTTTTAATTTCAATCTCTTTACTTTACATTATAATTATAAATCGTTTTATTTTATTTTATTCAGTATAAGCAAAATGAGTTTTATTTTCCATGAAAACGTTTCAAAATTTTGATTTGTTTTGTTTCAGTTTTGTTTTATTTTGTTTCAGTTTTGTTTGGTTTCAGTTTTTTTTTTTTTTGAAACAGTTCAGTTTTCAAAAAACTAAACCGAGTCCATGGCCTATGACTGCCATAGCCCACAATCCCCTGCAAACATACCAAAAATATATTATACTACATGAAGTATTCCGTGACACAGACTGTTCTGGTTCTGACTCAGCAAATTTGGATGCGCCATATTGAAAAACGTAGATCACACGTGGGAGATTCCGATATTTAAAAAAAACGTTTTGAATGCTGCTCCCTCTGTGCCACAAAAAATAAATATGTCGAAACGAAACTGCAAGGAGGATTTCGCAAAGTTCAAAGAAAGAATCTCTAAAAAGAGAAGAAAAGAAGACACAACTTCCAAATCGGATATGGACTATATTACAGTTCTAAGACTCTCCTCGCATGTCGAAGGAAGGTATCAAAAATATGCAAGGATTGGGCCTTTAGCAAACGTTCCTCTCGGTCGAGAACCCACAATCCAGAATATTAAAGAGGCTTGCAAGCGCTACTTCAACGTGGAAGATGGATCTCACTGTGATATACTAGCTGGGGAGAGAGGACCATCTTGGACAGAAACGAGTCAGATAAATAACTGGAAGGTAATCCATATCCGTTTCATTGAGGGGGGTGATGAGTGCCAATTGCGTGATGAAAAGCCGGTAGAGATCAGTTCCAGTCAACGGTGGAAATCACATGGGACCCCAAAGAAAACAACCCCTTCAATGTCCACCAAAGTTGCAGCCTCTGTACCTTTGAGTGCTATGCTTAAACTTGGCAAAATAATTCAACCTACTGAGGAAATAGTTACAGTGCAGCTTGAAGAATTCAAGATAAATGAAAAAGCATGGGCTCAGCCGTTTGAAGCTACACTTTCTCTTTCCAAAGAAAAATTTACAAGTGGCGGCGTCAGAAATGCATACATTGCCACCCCCTGTCAGGCCTGAGTCCAGGAAAATATGTGTTAAAGAAGATCAAAGAGGAAAAGGTTTATGAAATTGAGAAGCTGTTTAAGTCAATTGAGGAGCACACAAGAAAAGCAGTGCAAATGAATGCACTAGTAAGAAACTTCGCTATGACATTAGCCAGTGAGGCCCCTGTTGAATATGGTCATGTTCTAAGTTACACAAAGGTTTACTTTGGAAGGCTTTATGGCGATCTAGAAGGAGAATTCCAAAAGTATGTGAACAATACTGGGGAGGTTTATGGAGAAAGTGAAGTAACCCATAATGCAGAAGCATTCTGTCACTATACTTATGAAAGGTCAGAACACCAACTTATGGTTGTAGACATCCAGGGAGTAGATCATAATCTTTTCGATCCAGAAGTTGCCAGTTCAACTCTTTTTTATGCCAATGACAAGACAATATTCTTTTGTTGTGGCAACCTTTCCACAGATGCTATTGATATGTTTAATTTAATTAAGGCAGTACATGTTTGCAACAAATTTTGCCATATGCTTAAGCTTAAAGAAATGTAGATAATATATAACCAGTTGGCAACATGATAAGGACATAAAAGAAAACAATGGTTCATAAGTTTTAATCTATATCTCTCACAGACTCTCAGGTTTATCATATTCACTCTATTTTGCCCCTTGAGCATGAAAAGTCAGTGCATTTTTAGATGAAGGAAATTATTAATGCTTTTCTATATTCAGTGCTCCACTATTAAACTAAGATGTGACATACATTGTGCAGTGCTTACACAGAAAATAAATTATACCTGTGTACCAGTATTAAACCCATCTCTCAATTAAACCCCCTCCTAAAAAAACTCGTAAAAAATAAGCACTACAGGGGCCTGATAGAGAGAATACAGAAATGGCTTCACCCAGAATGTCATAACCTTTTATAAATATGTTTAAGTTAAAATTGACATTTTAAAGTGTAGATGTGTACTGTTAAAGATACATATAGAGGCAACTCTGTGTGCAACAGTCGCACAAACTGTACCATGATTTAAAGAAATTGTATTATTCTGGTTCAGGTTGAGTTTAGAGTGCATGTAACATATGAAACTTTGCATTAAATTGCACAAATTTATCATGAATATAATGAATGCACTTCTAGCAACTACTGCATGGCAACAACAAGTTGACAGGTTGTAAATATTGCGTTATGGTTTAAATTCATCTAATCTTTGCAATTCATTGTTGTTTACTTTATTTAAGTTCAGTTTGTAAGACAAATAGGCCTAACATGTTTCTAAAATGAAAGAAGTCAATAAAATGAAATTATTTTTTGTCTTAAAAAACATCCTCATCAACATGTGCCTTTAAGTATAGGTAGGCGTCCTTGGCATCACTTGGCTTTATTTCATCCATTTTAGGCAAATGCTTCTCACATTCTTTACGAACAGCTGGTCTCAAGTAATCATCAGTATCTTCCATGATAACATTTGATAGCTCAGCAACCTCAAGCAGTTGTTCCTCTGTTATATCAATACCACACTGTTCGCCGCCATATTTCTCCGGAAAATGGAATATGTGCTCTGGAACTCCTGCTGGCAGCTCTTTTCCTTTTTGTGTACGTGTTCTGTGGTTGTTCCAAACACACTCCCGAAAAACATCTAGTTCTCTCTGAACAACTGGGATGTACACATAGGCTAATAGGTCTCTATAATAAATTAAATAAGGTCTGCCTTTTTGTTGCCAACTATACATGTACAAGCAGTATCAAATATGTAGTTGTCTAATATTTTCATTTTATACCAGGCCTGGAAATAGTGGTGGATCCGAGGAAAGATGTTCCTACAATATATTTTGATTGCTAGAAAGGATTTACAATTTGGTTTGGCAGAAAGTTTTGAAATTTCTTTAAACTGAGAATGTGGATATAATAAGTGATATCACCTGATGTGCACAACTTGGTCTCAAAAAGTTTTTCTTTGATCATACATAAAAGTATTCGTTGAAATTTGTCTATGACACACAAAAAGGGGCATGGGGGGGGTCCACCCCCACACCTGGTTGCCACCAGGGTGTGGGGGTGGACCCTCCCCCAATAATTTTAAACATCAAACTGAGTTGGTCAAAATGTTTGTTATTGGTCAACGACTCAACATTGCAAATGCAGCGAAAAGTACATTGGTATTCTAAATCATATATGACATTCTGAAAACGCCAATTCCGACCATCCTTTTATAGCAAATTTTCAAAACATTTTGCCGATGCGAGTCAGCACTACTTAAAAAACCCAAAAAGTTGGTCATTTTACATTTAAATTAAAACATTTTGTCATTTTGGTACAAAATTGGGCCCTGCCCTGTTCAAATTTCTTTATAAATGGAAACACGAATATGCACTATGTAGTATAGTTCCAAGTGCCAAGTTACAAAATGTCAAATCAGGTATTAACGCCTATAACAACAATTGTTATAAGTTATTACATATAAGCGTTTATTATAATTTATTTGCATGCTAAGTTGCTAAGTTGCTAACATTAGTAACATGCATTTTGTTAACAATGAACTGAATGAAGGCAGTGTGAAGCACAGTACCATAGTTAATGGCTAACTGCTGTAAAATTTAGTGATGTTAAACTTAAACCATGGTTAAACCAACTAAATGTATGTTGTAATTTGATGACCGTGTTTTCAGAGAAAATATTTCTCCCCCCAGCTTATGATCCGAGAAAGGCTAGAATTACACCACAATTTACACATACCAGACATGCTGTCATTAGGCTGGTTTACACTGTCAAAGGTTCTGTGAACACAGTAGGAATTTTATATTGGTAAGTTCTGAAGGATTTGTATGAAATGTCAGAGTGAATTAGCTCTGTAGTGCTAAACACTTTTTAGTTCCATCAAGCATAGCTATATAAAATTCCTGATGTGATCACAGAAACTTTAATAGTGTAAACCGGGCTATACCTAAATGCAATTATCATACCGGTCATTTTGATCGCTGGAATCATAATCTCCACTTTCAACTAAGGACTTGAGTTGTTCTTTAAAAAACCTCTCCATTCTTTCATGAAGCTCCTTCCACCATCTTTCGATCTTGTTTTGGGTGGAAGGTCCATAGAGTATAGCATCTAATGGATTATCCAAATCACCATTTCTTTCTCTTAGAAAGCAATGAATTGTCGCCATGACATCAGTTTCTGTCCCCCGGTCCACCCCCAATGTTTGTGGTAAAACTGAGCAAAATAGATAATACAGCATTTAAAATCTTATATAATAATTCATATTCTCATTTCAAGCTAGTATAAAGCTTCGAAAGAAAAATAACAAATAATGTAATAAAAAACATACAAAAGATCCTACCCCTAGACTCAAACAGGTATTCAAAGTAGAGCCTTCCTATTACCAAAGGGTTATTGTTAGTGGTCCACACTCTAAGAAAATTCATCCTACCACTGTATGTATCCAGGCCACCATATATACTTAAAGGAAACATGGACTTCTGATAGCCACAAAGCTTATCATGACCATCCAGTGACATAGTACTGTTCGATCCCTGTTTAAATTCAATAAATTAAGACAATTTACAGCCATCAGTTTTTAGTTTTTAACTGAATAATATGGGAACGCACCAAAAACATTAGTACATGTAATGAACTGAATCACTGAACCAACAAAAAGATAAACCTGAATTTTTGTATATTTTTACACTATATAATTTTAGTAGTAGGTGAATGAGCCCACCCCTCTCAATTATCCAGGTCCCTCCTAAAAAAAACACCTACAATATCACACCCCTGGGGGTATTATAAAATCTCTGGCCCATTTGCCAAATACAAAACAATCAAATTAGACTCAGCCACTCAGGCCAAAATAAAGACATGATGTCAAATGCACTATTGGAATATAACGAACGCATTCGTTCTACGTGGACGTTTCGGTTTTCCAACTCCACCTCGGGATTTCAGTCCTTCTGGGTCTGCTTCTCCCATCACAGCGTATACTAAATCGCGCGACACATTGAGTCCATGTACTTCTCTTACTTTCTGCTGCATTGCTCGATAACCTAGAAGAACGCCTGGACCGTCCAACTCCTTTTTTACAGCTTTTTTAAGGGGCTGTCTCCGTAAAAACCTCCAGGTCAGTATGGGGCTCAAAAATAGATTTCTCTCAAACTCTAGTATTTTGAAGATCTATCCTTGGGAACAACTAAAATCGATGTCATTTTACTCAAATTTCCTTTAAATTATTTTTGGGGGCGATTGATGTTCGATCGACTGGTAACCAACTTGATACTCCGAATGAAGGTCAAATATCGACATATTTTCAGCGCTATTTTTTAAATCAAATTCATACGTAAATTTCAAAATTTTTGCTCAGAAATATAGACTTATCCTTCTATTTTCGCGGGTGATATGACTTAGATCATTATTCTTTGGTATAAAATAGAAAACAGCGCAGTTATTGATTCTCCTGAACGGATAAAGGATATCGTCTCAAATTATGTCAACTTCGAAAGCTTATTTCAAAATCGTGGCACTTGATTGGCACATGACTTTAACTTTTCTATGAACTACTAACATTAGTCAACACAAATCGCCAATAATATCTTTCTGCTCTACCATTTGACAAAAATGACAAGCGCGCAAACTTTGTAAAATTTGAAAATGTGTCGAAATCGAGCATACTTTATCGGTAAACATAATTCTTGATATTAACAAATAAAACCACCTTACACTACACTGAATGAAGCTTGATTATGCAAATATATGTCTTTCATCATTATTCTTTGGTTTTGCACTCGAATGAAATTGTTTGACTGTACAGTTTGGCTTCAAGGATAGTCATTCAATGCCAGTGTGTCCAGTGTGTTCGAATTCTGCGCGCCTCAATGCCATGACGGCATCAGTCCTGATTGTGACATACGAACTTCGCTCTGTTCGCTTTGTTTACCTCCTGTAAATAAAATGTCTCAAAGAAATTAGAAAATTCAGAATTAGTCATACTACAGACATAACTTTCATTGGTTTGTTTACCTTAAACTGTTATATAAAGTTTCGTTTTATAGAATGTACGATTTAATCTCGGGGAAAACTCCTAACCGAAAGAAATGTACTCGCTGAGCGTAAACATGTCAATCAAATGACGATGAAATGTTTCGTTGCTCTCTGATTTCCCTTTCTTTGTATTGAATTAAATAGTAGTCTTAGACAGTATTGCACGAGGTTTTTGTGTTTACAATAATGGTGTTTTACTTCTACTACAGCCGCAATTTGTGATCATGCAACGTTAAGGCCCTGTCACACTATTGCGTATGAGAGAAACGTATGAGAACCGTATGAAAATTAATGAAATCATTTTCATACGCACAAAAATCCTTTGAAATGCCAGCGTATGAGTACCGTACATCTGGCGTACCTCTAGATCTAGCGTATTCAGCGTGTGCCTAAAGTATGCTTATCTTATAAAGCATACGTCCAATACGCACAAAATTTTTGAACATGCTTAAAAAAAAATTCTGCCTCGGCGTATGCCAGCGTATGCAACCGTATGCGACCGTGCTTGAAACGTATATAACCTATGCCTAGCGTACCCCTAGCGTATGTCAGCGTATACCGGCGTATGAGTGATATTTTTCATACGCTGGCATACGCTAGTACGATACGCAATAGTGTGACAGGGCCATTAGGTAAACCTAAAGGCCCTGTCACACTAATGCGTATGAGAGAAACGTATGAGAAGCGTATGAAAATAAATGAAATAATTTTCATACGCACAAAAATCCTTTGCAATGCCAGCGTATGAGTACCGTACATCTGGCGTACCTCTAGCGTATTGAGCGTGTGCCTAGAGTATGCTTATCGTATAAAGCATATACGTCCGATACGCACAAAATTTTTGAACATGCTTAAAAAAATTTTCTGCCTCGCCGTATGCCACCGTATGCGACCGTGCTTGAAACGTATACAACCTATGCCTAGCGTACCCCTAGCGTATGTCAGCGTATACCGGCGTATGAGTGATATTTTTCATACGCTGGCATACGCTAGTACGATACGCAATAGTGTGACAGGGCCTTAAACGATTTCGACAGACAGTAGATTTTATGTTGACAGATGAGAATGACGGTAAGCAATAATGTAGAAATGTTCCTTTTCTACTTCTGAGTGTGGAAAATTCCGAGACACAGTAGACTGTTCTTCGAAGTTGCTGCCGTGTAAGAATGACATTAGTTATCACTTGCAAATTTGTCACCCTTTAAAGCTTGTCAGAAAGAAGAATATAAATTAATTCTAATTTTCAGAACCTTTCTAATTGTTACTGAAAAAAGGAATAACATTTATTAAATAACTGAGACGTTCAAATGGGTTACAGCTGTTTGCGCTGAATTGTTTTGTATTATAACAAAATATTCGCATATTTTTATACAATAAGAAATATTATAATATAGCATTTGTAAATTCTGAACGCTGATTGGCTAAGAGCCGTGTTGATATAACTCCATGTCAACACGGGAAATTTTCCGCCGCTTGTAACACGGAAATTTTTCTTATTCTTCGGGCTTTTGACATTGCTATATTATAAAACAAATATAAAACATTTTTTCCGTATTGATATATAGTTATATCAACACTCGTGGAAGTTGGGAAAACTCGAAATTGTGTGAAAACCCTCCGCCCTTCGGGCGTCGTGTTTCCACACAATTTCTCGTTTTCCCAATTTCCACTCGTGTTGATATAACTGTATATCAACACGGAAAATGTTTTATATTTGTTAAATGTAAATTCTTGAAGCATAGCCTTGAGCAAAGTGACCCAGGGTCGGCTGAAAAAGTTGATTTTTTTATACAGAACCGTGACTTACTTGAATTCTAGTTTCATTGATAATTGTTTCTAAACCTAGAGACAATTCAGTTGCTAGAAAACTATACTGAGCGAAACGAAATATTGACATTTGACATCATTGCCCGGGGTTTTCCCCGAGATTTAATTCGTACATTCTAACGAAACGTTTATAAAACAGTTTAAAAACGATGAAAATTCTGTCTGTATAGTATGACTAATTCTGAGTTTTCCAATTTCATTGAATATTGTTATTTGTTAAACATGTATTTGTTAAAGAGGTAAACAAAGCGAACAGAGCGAAGATTGTATAGTATGTCACAATCAGGACTCGTGGCATTGAGGCGCGCAGAAGACACTGGACACACTGGCATTGAATGACTCTATCCGTGAAGCCAAACTGTACTCAAACAATTTGATTCAAGCGCCAAACCAAAGAATAATGATGAAAGACATGTATTTACATAATGAAGCTTCATTCAGTGTAGTGTAAGGTGATTTTATCTGTTAATATCAATAATTATGTTACCAATAAAGTATGCTCGATTTCGACACATTTTCAAATTTTACAAAGTTTGCGCGCTTGTCATTTTTGTCAAATGGTAGAGCAGAAAGATATTATTGGCGATTTGTGTTGACTAATGTTAGTAGTTTATAGAAAAGTTAAAGTCATGTGCCAATCAAGTGCCACGATTTTGAAATAAGCTTTCGAAGTTGACATATTTTGAGACGATATCCTTTATCCGTTCGGGAGGGTCAATAACTGCGCTGTTTTCTATTTTATACCAAAGAATAATGATCTAAGTTGTATCACCGACGAAAATAGAAGGATAAGTCTATATTTTTGAGCAAAAATTTTGAAATTTAGGTATGAATTTGATTTGAAAAATAGCGCTGAAAATATGTCGATATTTGGCCTTCATTCGGAGTATCAAGTTGGTTACCAGTCGATCGAACATCAATCGACCCCAAAAATAATTTAAAGGAAATTTGAGTAAAATGACATCGATTTTAGTTGTTCCCAAGGATAGATCTTCAAAATACTAGAGTATGAGAGAAATCTATTTTTGAGCCCCATATTGACCTGGAGGTTTTTACGGAGACAGCCTCTTAAGCTGCAAAGCTTCCCCATTGACGAGTAAAAACGTCTGGCGTTAGACAAGTAAAAAAAAGTAGGGTGCACTGCCGGGGTGCATTGCAGCTCAATGGATTAAACAATAATAATAATAACAATAATAATAATTAATTGGATTTTGATTTGCTATTCGAACCCTCTTTCTGTGAAATTGCTAAACTGTAACATCGCGATCAGAGTGAGAAAATAACTTTGATGCTATTCATATTATATGTCCTGTATTTGGTGGCCAACAAAAATGTTGAGAGGGAATGTTGTTTGATTTTCTTACTGCATTTCCTAAGTGCATTTTAAGCTCTTGTTTGACCAGCTACTGTACTAGTGTACTCTCATCGACCTTCAGACACTTTATTTTTATATCTCATATTAAAGTACTCCTGCTCGTGTTTTAAGGCGGTTTTCCACTAGGCGAAATTTTTCGACCAAATCGATATTTTCTTTTGTCTTACAAGCAATCGGATGGAACTAATCAGAAATCTTTTGAATTTGAACGATAGAAATTTCGATTCGGTCGAAAAATTTCGCCTAGTGGAAAACTGCCTTTAAATAGACATCAATCTTTCATAAAATTACAAAATCGAGTCCATATACTATTACATATTATACCATATACCTTTTTCATGTGTTTCATCACTGGTACCCGAACAAGCCACACATACAAAGGATAATGCAACATGAGAAAGGAGTATTGGTGAAACCTAAAAGCAACAGATATATGTTACAATTATGGATAAATGTCAAGGTTTTTTGGATAGATCACTCGATAGAACAGGGTTTTGAAATGAAAACTTCATTATACTAACCAGGAGCATTTGCAAAAAATACAACTCTGCAATTCCAGTGCAGTGCTCTAACCAACTGAGCTAATTAAAATTGTTGGCATTTGTTTATATATGTCTTGTGGATGTAACATGAGCCACCATGTTTTTTGGCAAAGTTAAATAAATAAAACTGAAATCTTAGAAAGTTGTAGAGTTGAAACTTGCCTCAGAGATTGGCAGAGGGCCGTCACACACACTGAACATATATTCACAGCATAATTCATGTTCAGACTCCATCTTATTAACTGCTGGAATTTCTGTTTTGTAAACACCACCATTTGACCCTAATAACAAGGAAAGAGCCAAAAATAAATTATGTATAATATATCAATGAAATTAAATATATGGAATTAGGGAATTACACATGTACTTGCCACACTTGAATTACACATGTACTTACACATGTACTATATTAGGGAATTACACATGTACTTGCCATCAATGTGCATGTAAGCTTGTAAAAATACATAGCAGTTGACATAAAATGACCAATGCCCTTAACCCATCAAGTAGCAGCACTCTCCCGTTTCCAAGTAAAATTGCCTGGCATTAGACAGAGTAAAATAATAAAGTAGGGTGCATCAGGATGCAGCTTAATGGGTTAAGGGATGAACCATTAGATATCCTGGGGGAGAGAGAGGGGGGAGAGAGGGGGGGATTTTCCTTACAATAAATTTTTTAATTTGGAGCTTTGTTGAACTTTTTTATGGTGTAAAAGCTGTGCAGGAATTTGTTTCTATATATTTCTGTATATTCCACGTAGTTGCAGGACGTTTTTTCTTTTCCTAAATGCTTGCATTTTAATGGCTTAAATTTACAACAAATTTAGGTTGTGATAACATTACTTACAAAGTGAAATAAAGAATGCTGATTCCTCATCCTCATCCACTAACGACCAACACAATATTTTTGATTCCTAAAATTCACATTTTAATATAATAGTCAATTTTTCTAAAATGTGTAAAATTATTTCCATACAAAATAATTACAGTAATTGTTCTGATATTTGTCATTAATGTTACGGTTAACATTGAACTCTGTTATTAAGTAATGGGAAACCTCTTACATACTGTATAGCAAAGATTTGAGATCATGGCAAGGTTTAGCTCACTTAGTTACCTCTGGAGTCTCGATACTGAACACATGTTGTTTTGACTCTTTGAACAAATGCATCACCAATGACACTTTTGTGTGATCCTATGATAAATTGGCATGCAAAATGGATGTAAAACAGTAACATCTGTATTCTAAAAGCTCACTCACACTCAAAGAGTGGCGGTTCAATCTGAGCTTCCCTTGAGTGTCAGTGGTGTTTTTGAATACCTGGAGGGTGAGTAGTCACATAGTAAGATATGACACTATAACCCTCCAGCTATTCAAAAACAGCACTGACACTCAAGGGAATAGACAGGCGTAAGACAGCTGCATATTGAGAAAGATACAACTACGGTACCAAAAAATGCAAACAGAACTTCAACATTTTCGAGCAAAGGCGCTTTGTCAGGAAGTGTGAATTAAGTTCTGTTTGTATTTGGCACAGACAGGTGTAGAACAATAAGTGGACTGTCACCGTGACCGTAAAAATTTCACGGCTTAGGATAGTAAAAATAATATTACCTGAGATATCAGAACTTTTGAAAACCAAACATTATTATCTGTTGCCATATGTGTTCCACACCACAACAACCTATTAAAAATTTTAACATTTTAATATAGATTGAGAGAGGACTGCCAGAGAATCTCTGTGCATGCATGGCTGTCTACCTAGTCAGGGTTTAAGCATGTTGTTCGTCAAATCACAAATGCAAATAAAAACCTCTCTTTTGTCTTTGAAGATTTTCGTTTCTTTTCTTCACCAACTCGTGTAAAGGGAATGGCTTCATTGTCATTAAAGATAAGCACAGGTTCGTGTTGAAATCTTCTTGATGTACAAACATGGATTCTCTGAGCTGGTCTTGACAGCTGAAATTAATTTCACACAGTCAGTCACAAAATTAACACACTACTTTAGTCAGTCCATTGCTAGTTTGAGTTCTGAGGTGGATAGAAAGCCTAACAGGTTTTTGCAATATAATTAACCCTTTGAGTCGCATTGCACCCCAATGCACCTAGCCTGCGTAGCAGGCGTTTAGCTGACGGGCGAGAACTGAGGAAACGCCTGCCCAAATGGCTATGACAAATTTGTTTTCGCCCATTAAGGATGATTGACGTTTTGTAATTATAGCACCTTGACCCATTATCCAATCATAGTTGAGATTTATATTTAGCATCATGCATGCTTTTTGCTCGGCAACTATAGGAGATTTGCAGAGATTTTATGCACTATTTAAAACACAAGCAGCAGTGTTGTATCAGATATAAAGATGGTCTGATAAAACACGCACTGCGAATGTTTTAAATTGCTTCAAAAACGATCGATCTAGTATAAGTTCATTGGCGAAATAGCTTTCAAAAAATTTGTTGTGTATATAAAGAAAATCAAACTTAAAGTTTATGTAAATCAAGGAAAATCTCTATCACATATAAAGATCACATTTATGATTTTTCTTTGTGTTTCTTCCTCATGAAGCTATTTTAAACAACAGTCACAACACACTGTCACGGAGCTTTTATCTTTTAAAAGGCAGCTCCTGAACCACGGTTGTTTAACGTATTCTGCCGTATAGCAAATCAGTATAAACTGCAAAATTATAACAGTTGAGCATGTTTTGAAATGTTATTCTTAAAATCATCATCCAACCTAATAGCTGCAATGCCAAGTGATGTAGCCTCAACTATCTGGTCTTGAATTATACTTTAAAGTGAACAAATAGCAAGACAACTATAAGGAAATTTATATTCGATCCCTACCGCTCGGGCAAGCTTTGATTTGCAGATTTTCCGTATTCCGTAGGAAGAATCGCGATAACCGGCGTCTTCACCACGTAGCAAATTAATAATACTATTCTGGTTTCAACTGAATTTCGAAGTCTAAATACTTGAAATATAAGAGTTTCCTCGAAAAGCAATAACAGGCGGCATATTTTCGATATATACGCGAGCAAAATTATTGTTGACATTTGAGTTACGTAATTACTTCCGTTAACGAGATTGACCAATGGGAAGCTTTTCTGAAGATTCTTCGGAGAAGAACAAATTAATCGTAGGCATTTGGGCAGGCGTTTATTTAACGACGCCCTCTCTTCTCCCGCCCGCACTAAACGCCTGCTACGCAGGCTACAATGCACCCTACTTTATTATTTTACTCTGTCTAATGCCAGACAGTTTTATTCGACAAGAACAGAGTGCTAGTACTCAATAGGTTAAAATGCAGAGACTCAAGACTTTTAGCCACTGCCAACTAGCTTAGGTGGGCATGGTCAAAAAGGGTGCGGTCTTTGCCTAACCAATGACTAAACCCACCTTAAGCATACTACTTTGCCAAAGTTCAGGAACCGTATCTTCCCATAACAATAACCACTGAAAGAAAACAACATAGCAATCAGATATTTACCACACACAAAAAGAATGTGTTTGACGTACTAAAACAACTTTTGTATTTTCTACAAACAAGGACTAATCATTTCACAAGGTATGGCCAGTGACATTATATACTGTACTGTAGGTTTTAAAACAAAATTTCAATCATGAAAATTTGGCTCTACAGATACGGCCAAAGCAACATACTTGCCTGACGCTTGTACAAGAAAGTTAGTTTTCTTTCATTTATTCTGCAACTGGATATTCTTAGCTGCCCCCCTACCCCCAAGACGTTAACTTTAGGGGGCAAAAAATTAAATTAGGTCATGTTACAAACCTGATTGGCAGGGGGGGGGGCAGAAATATGGTTCCCCAGGAAAATTTGGAATTTTTAGGGTCAGTAGAAAAGCATTTCTCACATTCCGAGATGAGTTGTGAAGAAAAACCATCAGTATAAAAAAAACATTTCTGAAGTTGCATAGTTTTACTAAATACTATTTCAATAGTCAGCATACCGTTTCATCTTTGATTCCATAAAACAATCCATCATGATGTACCACAGGGCAAGTTAGTTTCTCTTTTGGTTCAATTGACCAACTATGAACAATCTTTCGATCTGCAATCTAGTAATAATACAAGCGGGAATTGACCACAGTGGAAACTTTGGATAGCACAGTGGTTGGTTATGACCAAAACAGAAACCAATAATATATTATTCTAAACAAAACCAAAAACCAACACGTAAAAACCAATAAACTTTTTTTTTGTCTGCCATTTTGACATCTTTGATTACAGTATGTGGCCCAGTTTCGGGTCATTTCAGGTTTGAACTGCTATATCTTCCTTTTCAGGAAAGGTACGATTTTTAAATGCTCACTTGAGAATAGGAAAGGTGTTTCTTAACAATATTTCAAAAGATTGACTTTTCTTACCTTTCACTTTTAGAATTATTTATATTTTTAAGAATCATTTTAGGTGCCTAGTATCGGGTCAACTGCACCAGTATCGGGTCACTTCAAGTTTCTTTGTTTATTGTATAAAAGCGTTTGTTTTACGGCAATTTTCGATCATTTTGTATAGTTTCAACATGTCTTAAGTTATTAACAATTTTTTGTGAGGTTTTGACAAGGTTTAGACATGATATTTCCAGCTTGAAACTACCTCTTCTACACAGTTTTTGCGGAGTGCGTTCTAAGCAGTGCTTCCACTTTCAAAGGTTGAAACATAGCTGACCCGAAACTGGGCCACAAAGCCAAACTAAAACGTAATTCGTGGGACCAGAATATATCTCTGAAATTCTGAATAATTGAATTGCCATTTCATATTTATATATTCTCGGCAATAATCTATCGTTAGGACAAAATTGGGCAGTTACATGGAGAATTTATACATATCAATAATACGATTTATTGTTATTAGTTAGTTTTACTGCGCAGTGAAATGAACAAATTTTAGTAAAAGAATATAAACATACCCGAACAAAAGGATTCTTCTTTGAATACAGTTCAACTAAAAAGCCTACGAAAACTATCATCCAAAAAAGGAAAGGTTCACCATTATATCTATATATTTCATTTCGCGTCGCTTTTTATCTCGGCGGAAAAAAATGAAATCAAATTTCTATTGACCCGCTACTGGTACTGACCCGAAACTGGGCCACATACTGTACATCATTATTGAAAAAACAATATGAAATTGGTCGAAGACCGAAAAATTGAATTGAATTGAATTTTACCGCAAAAAACAAACTGCAAAAAATAATCTTAAAGTCTATTATATAGTTTTTTCTTGTTTCTCTAAAATACTTCTACCCTGTGAGCAAAGTCCTCTCATATTTCTTCTCGGCACGGCACGGAGAATTTTTAATATATATTCCCAGTAATTATACACAGAAAACTATTCCCAGTGCAAAAAGGAACAAAACTCACATTATATACAAGAACTTCCTTATTTTTAAATGTCAGGATAAAGTAGTCGTCTTCAGAATGTTTTTCAGCGCCAATAAGTTCAGCTCCGTTCGAAATTTTACACAATTCAAAACTTTCGCCAAAAGTCGCCATATTGGAAATTCAGAATATCTTATAAATAGAAGATACTTTATGTAACTTTCACTGAAGAGTTTCTCTATTCAACTGTGGCAATATTGCGCATGTGCAAGAGTTTCTGCTTTTGTAATAGAAGAAATGAAATTCCGAGCGGAATTTTTATACATCTGGTTTAACGCTCTCACTTGCAAGCTCCATTGGGTAGAGGTGCTGGACAGGTCTCTCGAGGGTTCCTTTGGCTGTCTTCAGTTTCACTAATTTAATGTGCAAGAACCTTTTTTCAGCCAAACTCGTTCTCAGACAATCTCGTTCCCCGAGCCTGCGATCCTCGGGATCCTCGTAGTTCAATCTTAGCCAGGATTCTTGGTTTCCGGTAACGGATTATCCCAGAGCCTTCGATTCCTTCCCGAGGATCGCAGGCTCGGGGAACGAGATTGGTTCTCAGAGTATGCCACTTCGCAGGTTAGGGCCCAGTACCTATCGATAAGTCAACGAGAGAGTCGATAAGTCAACGAGATTGTCATGAGCTTTGCTTATATGCTCGCCTTAAAACTAAAACATGTTACTGTATACGACGCAATTTATATCCGTTCGTAAGCATTTTTATGGACTCATACACGAGGGGTGTTATCATAGGTGTCATATACGGGGGCGGCACATATACGGACGACATTTGATATTAGTAATATTTATTGTACCTGTAAACTATAGTATACCGTGGACGAAAAGAATATAAACTTGACATGACTTAAAAACTGACACATGATTAACACAAATTAACACATAATTATATTACTTTAATGTAATCATCGTCTGAGCTGTTGTCCATTGGCTTATACACGGAGGGGTTTATATTCGAGGAGGGGCTTATAAGTTATATCACACACTCCTTCAATCGTCTCGGTGTTAATAAATTTTCAATGTGTTAATACATTTTCAAGGGCAAAGGTAGCAAGGCACGCAGTCGCTGGAAAGCTGGCGCGGGGTGGAAGGGTAGGGAGAAACGAGGGGAAGTTGCGTACTTAGTCGTAACCCACTCTCAACATTTCTCGTGGGAGGAAACTAGAGTGCCCGGAGAAAACCAACAACATTCGGCAGAGCGTTGACTGATACTTTTCAAATGAATGTCTCGAAAATTGAACCCACAATTTCAGAGATGGAAGACGCTTGCTCTGACAACGAAGTACAGCTGGATTCAGCTGCTATCATTATCACAAATTGCCTAATCATAAACCTTTTAAATTTTGTGTTTGGCCAAGACAGCACTCAGTTGCCTGACAACACTTGCAAGTTGCAACATGGGTCGTGGCTTTAGTTTTCGACTCTTGTATCGAGTCGTTTTCTTTTCCTTCTGTCTGATTTTCGCCTGTTTATATCATGGTGGTGGTTCAGAGTATGACAGGCGAGAAGATAAAACAGAACCGAACAAATTAAAAGATGAATTCAAAGGCAAACCCTTGAATGTCAACGTTTCTCTCGAACAAGACGAACGCGTCCCTTACTTGACAGAAAATGCGAAACAAATTGATGGCCGCAAGGCTCGGAAGAAAACTGATCTTTCAAAGATGGTTAGAAAAGGTAAATATTGAAAATGTGAGAATGTTAGCACTTCAGAAGAAGTAATTGTTAACCATAATTTATTTTTAGGAACTGCGATGAAAACCCTCCGAAGTGAAAGAATACAAAAGAGCCCACTACTGCCTTTTTCAACATCATCGCCGTCTGAGGTAAACGTTCAACGCAAAGAATCGACAACCATCTCCCACTCAAATGAGAAAGAATGGCAAAACGGTGGCAGTGAAAACATATCTCCATTGGAAAATCAAATTTTTCACGAGAATGACTTGAGAAAAATAGCCAAAACAGAGACGTTCGCCTCACTCACAACTCAAAATCTCCGGAGCAGACGTGAAATTGATTCGAAATCTGAGTATACCCAGGAAGATCTATTAATGTGCAACGAATCAATCATCAATATAAAATACGATGACGAATACAAAGTTCGGACTGATTTATCAATACTCTATAAGAAGACGGTGTACGATTATACTCAGTATCGAGTTGTGAATGGTAGCATAAAGATTTGTAACTCCACTGATAACTACGTACGCAAGATTTGGAAGGTACGCAATAAACGGGTAAAGGCGAAAATTCATCAAAAAAGTTGCAATAAACCCATTAGAGAGTCTTGGTTGTACCAAAAGTATTACACTGTGAATAAGCAGTTCACTGTCTACTTCGCAGCTATGAATCAATATTTCACAAGAAATGACTATGGGGTGGAAGACGGTAAACCTTTTACATGCCAAGAAAAGTTCAGACCCACATCAACAGAGTATACCCAGGAAGATCTATTAATGTGCAACGATTCAAACATCAATATAAAATACGATGATGAATACAAAGTTCGGACTGACTTTTCAATACTCTATAAGAACAAGGTGTATCATTATACTGAGTATCGAGTTCTGAATGATGGCATAAAGATTTGTAATTCCACTGATAACTACGTACGAAATATTTGGAAAATACGGAATATATGGAAAGTACGCAATAATTGGGTAAAGGCGAAAATACATCAAAACAGTTGCAATAAACCCATTAGAGAGTCTTGGTTGTACCGACAGCATTACACTGTGAATAAGCAGTTCACTGTCTATTTTGCAGCTACGAATCAATATTTCACAAGAAATTATTATGGGGTGGAAGACGGTAAACCTTATACATGCAAAGAAAAGTTCAGATCCATATCAACAGAGTATACCCAGGAAGATCTATTAATGTGCAACGATTCAATCATCAATATAAAATACGATGATGAATACAAAGTTCGGACTGACTTTTCAATACTCTACAAGAACAAGGTATACGATTATACTAAGTATCGAGTTATGAATGACAGCATAAAGATTTGTAACTTCACTGATAACTACGTAAGGAATATTTGGAAACTACGAAATAAATGGGTAAAGGCGAAAATACATCAAAAAAGTTGCAATAAACCCATTAGAGAGTCATGGTTGTACCGAAAGTATTACACTGTCAATAAGCAGTGCACTGTCTATTCGGCAGCTAGGGGTCAATATTTCACAAGAAATAACTATGGGGTACACGACGGCAAACCTTTTACATGCCAAGAAAAGTTCAGACCCAAATCATCAGAGTATACCCAGGAAGATCTATTAATGTGCAACAATTCAATCATCAATATAAAATACGATGATGAATACAAAGTTCGGACTGACTTTTCAATACTCTACAAGAACAAGGTGTACGATTATACAGAGTATAGAATTTTGAATGATGTCATAAAGATTTGTAACTCCACTGATAACTACGTAAGGAATATTTGGAAACTACGCAATAAATGGGTAAAGGCGAAAATACATCAAAGAAGTTGCAATAAACCCATTAGAGAGTATTGGATGAAACGACAGTATTACACTGTGAATAAGCAGTTCACTGTCTATTCGGGACGTCGTGGTCAATATTTCCCAAGAAATGACTATGGGGTGGAAGACGGTAAACCTTTTACATGCCAAGAAAAGTTCAGACCCGAATCAACAGAGCATACCCTGGAAGATCTACTAATGTGCAACGATTCAATCATCAATATAAAATACGATGATGAATACAAAGTTTGGACTGACTTTTCAATACTCTACAAGAACAAGGTGTACGATTATACTGAGTATCGAGTTCTGAATGATGGCATAAAGATTTGTAACTCCACTGATAACTACGTACGGAATATTTGGAAACTACGCACGGAATATTTGGAAACTACGCAATAAATGGGTAAAGGCGAAAATGCATCAAAAAAGTTGCAATAAACCCATTAGAGAGTCATTGTTGTACCGAAAGTATTACACTGTCAATAAGCAGTGCACTGTCTATTCGGCAGCTAGGGGTCAATATTTCACAAGAAATAACTATGGGGTGCACGACGGCAAACTTCATATATGCAAAGAAAAGTTCAAACCCACATCAACAGAGTATACCCGGGAAGATCTATTAATGTGCAACGATTCAATCATCAATATAAAATACGATGATGAATACAAAGTTCGGACTAACTTTTCAATACTCTATAAGAACAAGGTGTACGATTATACTAAGTATCGAGTTCTGAATGATGGCATAAAGATTTGTAACTCCACTGATAACTATGTAAGGAATATTTGGAAACTACGCAATAAATGGGTAAAGGCGAAAATACATCAAAGAAGTTGCAATAAACCCATTAGAGAGTATTGGTTGAAACGACAGTATTGCACTGTGAATAAGCAGTTCACTGTCTATTCGGGACGTCGTGGTCAATATTTCCCAAGAAATGAGTATGGAGTGGAAGACGGTAAAACATATACATGCGATGAAAAGTTCAGACCCCAATCAACAGAGTATACCCAGGAAGATCTATTAATGTGCAACGATTCAATCATCAATATAAAATACGATGAAGAATACAAAGTTTGGACTGACTTTTCAATACTCTACAAGAACAAGGTGTACGATTATACTGAGTATCGAGTTCTGGATGACAGCATAAAGATTTGTAACTCCACTGATAACGACGCAAGGAATATTTGGAAAGTACGCAATAAGTGGGTAAAGGCGACAATGCATCAAAAAAGTTGCAATAAACCCAATACACTGTCATCGTTGTATCGAAAGTATTACACTGTCAATAAGCAGTCCACTCTCTATCTCGCACCTCCGAGTCAATATTTCACAAGAAAGGACTATGGGGTGAAAGACGGTAAACCTTTTACATGCCAAGAAAAGTTCAGACCCGAATCATCAGAGTATACCCAGGAAGATCTATTAATGTGCAACGATTCAATTTTCAATATAAAATACGATGAAGAATATGAAGTTCTGACAGACTTTTCAATATTCTATAAGAACAAAATGCACAATTATACTGAATATCGAGTTCTGAGAGATGGCATAAAAATTTGTAACTCCACTGGTAATTACGTACGGAATATTTGGAAAGAACGCAATAAATGGGTAAAGGCAAAAATACATCAAAAAAGTTGCAATAAACCCATTAGAGAGTCATGGTTGTACCAAAAGTATTACACTGTGAATAAGCAGTTCACTGTCTATTTGGGACGTCGTGGTCAATATTTCACAAGAAATGACTATGGGGTGGATGACGGTAAACCTTTCACATGCCAAGAAAAGTTCAGACCCGAATCATCAGAGTATACCCAGGAAGATCTATTAATGTGCAACAATTCAATTTTCAATATAAAATACGATGAAGAATACCAAGTTCTGACAGACTTTTCAATACTCTACAAGAACAAGGTGTACGATTATACTGAGTATCGAGTCCTGAATGATAGCATAAAGATTTGTAACTCCACTGATAACTACGTAAGGAATATTTGGAAAGTACGTAATGAATGGGTAAAGGCAAAAATTCATCAAAAAAGTTGCAATAAACCCATTAGAGAGTTATGGTTGTACCGAAAGTATTACACTGTGAATAAGCAGTTCACTGTCTATTCGGCAGCTGAAGGTCAACATTTCACAAGAAATGAGTATGGGGTGAAAAACAGTAAACCTTATACATGCGATGAAAAGTTCAAACCCGACTCAACAGACTATACACAGGAAGATCTATTAATGTGCAACGATTCAATCATCAATATAAAATACGATCATGAATACAAAGTTCGGACTGACTTTTCAATACTCTACAAGAACAAGGTGTACGATTATACCGAGTATAGAATTTTGAATGATGTCATAAAGATTTGTAACTCCACTGATAACTACGTAAGGAATATTTGGAAAGTACGTAATAAATGGGTAAAGGCGAAAATACATCAAAGAAGTTGCAATAAACCCATTACAGAGTATTGGTTGAAACGACAGTATTACACTGTGAATAAGCAGTTCACTGTCTATTCGGGACGTCGTGGTCAATATTTCCCAAGAAATGAGTATGGAGTGGAAGACGGTAAAGCATATACATGCGATGAAAAGTTCAGATCCATATCAACAGAGTATACCCAGGAAGATCTATTAATGTGCAAAGATTCAATCATCAATATAAAATACGATGATGAATACAAAGTTCGGAGTGACTTTTCAATACTCTACAAGAACAAGGTGTACAATTATGCGGAGTATCGAGTTCTGAATGATGGCATAAAGATTTGTAATTCCACTGATAACAACGTCAACGTACGGAATATTTGGAAAGCACGCAATAAATGGGTAAAGATTACAATGCATCAAAAAAGTTGCAATAAACCCATTACATACACTGAGTTCGACCGATGGGAATACGCTGTGCTCAAGGATTTTAGAGTTCGCATTTTGGCAGCAAAGCAGCTGATAGCAAAATACGATTATGCTCTGTTTGAAGGTAAACTTATGACATGTGTGACAGAATGCGCCAATTTTACCTTCACTATAAAGTATGAAGATGAATACAGAGTATGGAACAACTTCTCAGTGATGTACAAGGTCGAATGTACTCTTATGATGAGTACAGAATAACGTACTATGGTCTACAAGTTTGTAATTCTTCTGACCGTCTCATTAAAGAAAAATGGGGGAATTTCATTGTTTCAGAAAAAATAACAATAGCTTTCCAAGATTGTAATGCATCGGTGGACGGTTTTTACTCCGAAAATTACACATTACATACAAACTTTACTGTTCTCTTTAAACCTACCAATCAAATTTTCAGAAGGCAAAATTACGGAGTGATTATGGGGTATTTTGCAATTTGTTCAAGCAAGCTCACATTGTCCTGCAATGATGATTTGGTCAAAGTAAAGTACGGTGATCAATACAATGTTTTTAAAAACTTTTCGCTGGTTTACAACAACAAGATATACGATTATCGCGAATATCGATTCAGCCACAACAGTCTCGAAATGTGTGCTTCCAATGATTCAAGAGTTCAGGCGATTTGGAGAACGCAAAATTCGTGGCAAAAGTCATTATCCGCATCCTGTAATGGTACTTATAAATTAAATGCAAGATACTACACTGTGACAAAGCAGTTTGCTGTGTATTCGGCAGATAACGGTCAATATTTTTTTTTTTTATTTTTTCTTATGTATGCGGCAAAGAAAACTTAAGACCAATTTACGTAATTACAAACTTTAAGATTATTATAGCACCATTATGTGCTTTAGCGCTTTCTATTATTTCTTTGCTGTTGTTGTTGATAGTTTACTGCATGCTTCCAGAACTGCGCACACTTCCTGGTTTGAATTTAATGAGTTTTAGCTTCGCCTTGCTGTTGTGGCAGACTTACCTTGTAGTATTTCTGTCACTGTATTCTCATGTAGGTAAACTGTTTGAGATACCGTGTGCTAGGCTGTTCGTAGCAAATAAGTTTATGGCGTATAGCATAATTATGAATGCTGCTGTTAATATCCATCACTTAAGGAAAACATTTTGTGGCAATACTCTAGTGAAATCTGATGAACTGAAGGAGTGGAACAGGTTTTTGAAGTATAGTTTCTTTAGCTGGGGAGTTCCCATCATTATAACGATTGTTTACATTGTGCTAGTAAAGGAAGATGTTCTAAGGTTTGATCAACCTATTGCGTCTGCAGTGAAGAACGACGTTCAGTCGAGCTTAAGATTTTATCGACGCATTGCGAATGGAAATGCGACGGCAAATAATATAGGGATTTATCACCGTGTTGCATCCTTGAAGGATAATGTCCTGCAGTCAAAGTCAAGGTTAAATCAAAGCACTGACAATGTACTTGAAGATGCCCAGTCAAAGTTTAATCAAAGCACTGTACTTGGGAAGGAAGATGCGACGGAAGATGATCTAAGAATTTATCAACCTATTGTATCTTTGAAGAAAGATGTTCAGTCAAGCTTAAAGTTTTATGAACGCATTGTATTCGCGAATGGAGATGGGAAGGAAAATGATGCAAGGATTTATCAACAGATCTCTGGAGATTGTATCAATGGTCGAATTACTCCCGATTGGTCAGCTGCTGTTGATGTATATGGCCTTCAAGGTTGTCTTTTGTTGTACATTATTGGAATGTTCATCTTCACTGCTTATCGAATTCGCCAAAAACTCAAGGCAAGCAGGAACATTGCACAGAAATCGAATGTTGTTAAGCGTCGTAAATTTGTCATATTGCTCAAGTTGTCAACTACTACAGCCTTAAGTTATTGGTTTCCTCTCTTCATATCTAGAATCGTGGAATTTGATTTCGACATAAAGATAGCACTGTATACTGTAACGTTGCTTACTGGTGCCTACATTGGTATTGCGTTTGCCTTCACACGAAGAAATTATCAGTCGCTCAAGAAAAAATATTTCCCAGCAAACAATAAGCCGCCAGTTAACGAAATTCCGTTGAATAGACTATAGCCAGTATGGGAGTATAGAATCTTGTATCCAATGTAAAAACGCTTATAGTACAATGCTATCAAATTAAAATGTATGCACACAATGTGTTTAAGATCGTTGTAGTATAATAAAGTAAATAAAACGCAAAAGCTTGTGTGTGTTTTTCAAGTACGTTTCGTCTGGAGGATGGGATGGGCAAAAGTACCCTGACAGCCCTGGGAAATCTCAGCATGGAGTAATTTATATTTCTGTTATGCGGGTTAGAATCATATCCTACTCCCTCCAACAACATGAAGCATTCGGTAATTTTCGCCAGTAAAACCTGGTTTAACGGTCGTAAAGATTGAATCATGATCTTTCTCATCAGCCGAAATACAACATTTTAGAACTGAAAATACGCGGAGTGATTATAACTAGAGAATACTTATGATTTATATGTGATTTACAGGTCTAAACTATTATAAACTGGCCGTTGAGAAAGATCGTGACTGTATTTTTACGACCATATGGAAACCAGGCTTAAGTTTGTTTGCGCGTTAGTTGCCATGGCAACGGATATGAAACATTTCAAATTATATAATAACCTTTAAGAATTCATGCGATTTCATTGGTCGAGAGCCATGATCTATTAGAGGACAGACGCACGGAATTACGTCATTAGTTTTTAAAATGTCGAAAATATTTGAAAATTCCACTGAATTAATATACAAATTGAATGAATTCATGCAATTTAATCTATAAACATCAATAAATACCTTCGATAAATGTGCAGAAATTACTCACAAAAGTTAGCAACTCGGCAAATCTCAATTTATTAAGATGCGATTTCAAATTCAATCCGGTCTTCGAAAAAAAAACCTATTTGAGTCATTTGACCCTGTCGATGTCACTATCCAGCTGGTTTCTTCAGGCAATGTTTAAGTGCTTTTCAATCACCATAGTCGCTAAGAAAAAAACAATTGCCTTCTTATCACACGTTTTTATTTCTTTAAAACAATGTTTCTTTCACTGATAAATTTTTAATATTTCTTCCTGATTCATATGTTTGAGGGAATAAGAATAAACTGTTTGCCTGTTTATAAAACAAATACATTACATTTAACCGTTGTCTGTTCAGTTATAGATACACAGTATGACGTCATATGTGGTAAGAACAAAAAGTGACCACTGGCCTAGGCGGCTCGTGGACACTTTTTTGTTCTTACACATATGACGTCAAACTGTGTATCTATTACTGAACAGACAACGGTTAAATGTAATCTATTTGTTAAATATGAACATCACGAAAGTTTAAATATGTGTCGAACTAATATCTTCTGCGCAAACGAAATTTAAGAATTGCAATCAGTGTATCAATTTTCCATCTTTATATCTGGCAAAAATAGACCCAGTGGCACCTAAGTCAATTTGTTACACGTTAATTGCCATGGAAACTTACAAGGTGTTACAAAATCAACAAAATTTGAAACAAAAACATTTCAACATATGTACAACCATAGATTTAAATCCATGAACAACCCAACATACGATGTACAAAGTGTAGATGTACAATATTTGACAATTCCAAAGACCTGATATTTTGAAATATGCATCGAGTTGCCTGAAGAGTATTTCAGCTGTATTTAATCATTAAGATAATTCGACTTTTAAAGCCGTTATGTTTTTTGTTGCATAGATAACGCTCAAGTGGGTACTTAGACGTAACCCCAGGCACGATCCAGCCGTTGAGCCTAGCGTAACCCACTCTCAACATTTCTTGCAGGAGGAAACTGGAGTACTCGAAGAAAACCAACAACATTCGGCAGAGCGTTGACTGATTCTTTTCACGTGAATGTTTCGAGAATTGAACCTACGATTTCAAAGATGGAAGGCGCTTGCTCTGACAACGAAGTACAGCTGGATTCAGCTGGTAACATTATCACAAATCGCCTGATCATAAACCTTTTAAATTTTGTGTTTGGCCAAAACAGCATTCAGTTGTCTGACAACACTTGCAAGTTGCAACATGGTTCGTGGCCTTAGTTTTCGACACTTGTATCGAGTCGTTTTCTTTTCCTTCTGTCTGATTTTCGCCTTTTTTTATCATGGTGGTGGTTCAGAGTATGACAGGCGAAAAGATAAAACAGAACCGAACAAATTAAAAGATCAATTCAAAGGTAAACCCTGCATGAATGTTGACATTTCTCTCTAAAAACGAACGCGTCTCTAACTTGAAAGAAATTGCGAAACAAATTGATGGCCGCAAGTCGCGGAAGAAAACCAAGAAAACTGATCGTTCAAAGATGCTTGGAAAAAATAAATTTTGAAAAATTAGCACTTCAGAAGGAATAATTGTTAACCATAATTTATTTTTAGGAACTGTGATGAAAACACTCCGAAGTGAAAGAATACAAAAGAGCCCAGTACTACCTTATTCAACTTCATCGCCGTCTGAGGTGAACGTTCCACGCAAAGAATCGACAATCATCTCCCATTCAAATGAAACAGAATGGCAAAACGATGGCACTAAAAATATATCTTCACTGGAAAATCAAATTTTTCACCAGAATGACTTGAGAGAAACAGCCAAAAGAGAAACGTTCGCTTCACTCACAACTCGACATCTCCGGAACAGACGTGAAATTGATGCGATCTTGGAAAGACCGACCGAATGCGCCAATTTTACCTTTACTATAAAGTACGAAGACAACTACAGAGTATGGAACAACTTTTCAATGATGTACCAAAGCCGAATGTACCGCTATAACGAGTACAGAATAACGGACAATGGTCTACAAGTTTGTAATTCTTCTGACCACTTTATTAAACAAAGATGGCGGGATTTGATTGCTCGGGAAAAGGAAGTGTTGGCTTCCAAATATTGTAATGTATCCGCGGACGCGTTTTACTACTCCAATTACACATTATACAGAAATTTTACTGTTTTCTTCAAGCCTACAGAGCAGAGTTTCACAAGGCAAGATTACGGAGTGACTTTTGGATATTTTTCAATTTGTTCGGCAAAGCTTAGTCTGTCCTGCAATGATTATTTGTTTAAAGTGAAATACGGCGATCAGTACAACGTTTTGCAAAACTTTTCGCTGTTTTACAACAGCAAGATGTACGATTATCGTGAATATCAATTCGGAAACGAAGGTCTTGAAATGTGTGCTGCCAATGACTCAAGAATACGGGCCATTTGGAGAACACGAAATTCGTGGAAAAAGCTTAAAGACCAGTACACATGCCGCGGATCTGTTGATAAATAATCAGATGCAAGGTACTATACCGTGAATAAACAGTTCAATGTCTATCTCGCACCTAGAAGTCAATATTTCACGAGAAATGACTATGGGGTGGAAAACGGTAAACCTTATACATGCAAAGAAAGGTTCAGACCCATATCAACAGAGTATACCCGTGAAGATCTATTAATGTGCAACGATTCAATCATCAATATAAAATACGATGATGAATACAAAGTTCGGACTGACTTATCAATACTCTATAAGAACAAGGTGTACGATTATACCGAGTTACGAGTTCTGAATGATAGCATAAAGACGTGTAACTCCACAGATAATTTCGTAAGGAATATTTGGAAATTACGCAATAAATGGGTAATGACGACGATGCATGAAAAAAGGTGCAATAAACCCATCAGAACCATTGGGTTCTACCGAGAGTATTACACGGTGAATAAGCAGTTCACTGTCTATCTCGCACCTACGATACAATATTTCACAAGAAACGATTATTGGGTGAAAAACGGTAAACCTTATATATGCAAAGAAAAGTTGAAACCTGTATTATACGAGTATACCCAGGAAGATCTATTAATGTGCAACGATTCAATCATCAATATAAAATACGATGATGAATACAAAGTTCGGACTGACTTTTCAATACTCTATAAGAACAAGGTGTACGATTATACTGAGTATCGAGTTCTGAATGATGGCATAAAGATTTGTAACTCCACTGATAACTACGTAGGGAATATTTGGAAAGTACGCAATAAATGGGTAAAGGCGACAATGCATCAAAAAACTTGCAATAAACCCATTCAAGAGTCTTGGCTGTATCGAGAGTTTTACATTGTGAATAAGCAGTTCACTGTCTATTCGGCAGCAGAAGGTAAATTTTTCACGAGAAACGAGTATGGAGTGGAAGACGGTAAACCTTATTCATGTGATGAAAAGTTCAAACCCGAATCAAGGGAGTATACCAAGGAAGATCTATTAATGTGCAACGATTCAATCATCAATATAACATACGATGATGAATACAAAGTTCGGAATAACTTTTCAATATTCTATAAGAACAAGGTGTACGATTATACTGAGTATCGAGATCTAAATGATGGCATAAAGATTTGTAACTCCACTGATAATTTCGCAAGGAATATTTGGAAATTACGCAGTAAATGGGTAAAGGCGACGATGCATAAAAAAAGTTGCAATAAACCCATTACAACCTTTTGGTTTCACCGAAAGTATTACACTGTGAATAAGCAGTTCATTGTCTATCGCGTACCTGAGAGTCAATATTTCAAAAGAAATGACTATGGGGTGCAGTACGGTAAATCAGTCATATGCAATGAGAAGTTAAGACCTAAATCATCAGAGTATACCCCAGAAGATCTATTAATGTGCAACGATTCAATCATCAATATAAAATACGATGATGAATACAAAGTTCGGACTGACTTTTCAATACTCTATAAGAACAAGGTGCACGATTATACTGAGTATCGAGTTCTGAATGATAGCATAAAGATTTGCAACTCCACTGAAAACTACGTAAGGAATATTTGGAAAGTACGCAATAAATGGGTAAAGGCGAGAATGCATCTAAAAAGTTGTATTAAACCCATTAGAACCTTTTGGTTTTCCCGAGTGTATTACACTGTGACTAAGCAGTTCACTGTCTATGTCGCACTTACGAGGCAATATTTCCCAAGAAATGACTATGGGGTGAAAGACGGTAGACCTTATATATGCGATGTAAAGCTGAGACCCACATCAGACGAGTATACCCAGGAAGATCTATCAATGTGCAACGATTCAATCATCAATATAAAATACGATGATGAATACGAAGTTCGAACTGACTTTTCAATACTCCATAAGAACAAGGTGTATCATTATACTGAGTATCGAGTTCTGAATGATAGCATAAAGATTTGTAACTCCACTGATAACTGGGTACGGAATATTTCGAAATTACGTAATTACTGGGTAAAGGCGTCATGCATGATAAAAGTTGCAATAAACCCATTAGAACCTCTTCGTTGCCCCGAGAGTATTACACTGTGAATAAGAAGTTCACTGTCTTTTACGCACTTAGGAGTCAATATTTCGCAACTAATGACTACGCGCTTTACGGTGGTAAACTTATTGTATGCAAAGAAAAGTTCAAACCCAAATCAACAGAGTATACCCAGGAAGATCTATTAATGTGCAACGATTCAATCATCAATATAAAATACGATGATGAATACAAAGTTCGGACTGACTTTTCAATACTCTATAAGAACAAAATGTACAATTATACTGAGTATCGAGTTCTGAATGATAGCATAAAGATTTGTAACTCCACTGATGATTTCGACAGAAATATTTGGAAAGTACGCAATGACTGGGTAAAGGCGAGAATGCATAAAAAAAGTTGCAACAAACCCATGTCGTACATTCAGTTCGATCGATGGGAATACACTGTGCTTAAGAATTTTAGAGTTCTGATTTTGGCAACAAAGCAGCAGATAACAAAGTACGATTATGCTGTGTTTAAAGGTGAAATTATAACATGTGTGACCGAATGCGCCAATTTTACCTTTACTATAAAGTACGAAAATGAATACAGAGTATGGAACAACTTCTCAATGATGTACCAAGGTCGAATGTACTCTTATGATGAGTACAGAATAACAGACGATGGTCTACAAGTTTGTAATTCTTCTGACCGTTTCATTAAAGAAAAATGGCGGAATTTCATTGTTTCAGAAAAAATAACGATAGCTTTCAAACATTGTAATGTATCGGTGGACGGTTTTTACTCCGAAAATTACACATTGCATACAAACTTAAATGTTTTCTTCAAACCTACCAATCAAAATTTCACAAGGCAAGATTATGGAGTGATTTTGGGGTATTTTGCAATTTGTTCGGCAAAGCTTAGATTGTCCTGCAATGATGATTTGGTCAAAGTAAAGTACGGTGAACAACACAACGTTTTTAAAAACTTTTCACTGGTTTACCACAACCAAATATACGATTATCGCGAATATCGATTAAGCCACAACAGTCTTGAAATGTGTGCTTCCAATGATTCAAGAGTTCAAGCCATTTGGAGAACGCGAAATTCGTGGCAAAAGTCGTTACCCGCATCCTGTTATCATTATTATAAATTAAATGCGAGATACTACATTGTGACAAAGCAGTTTGCTGTGTATTCGGCAGATAACGGTGAATATTTCGAAAGAAATGGCTATGCGGTGATAGACGGTAAACCTTATGTATGCGGCAAAGAAAACTTAAGACCAATTTACGTAATTACAAACTTTAAGATTATTATAGCACCATTATGTGCTTTAGCGCTTTCTATTATTTCTTTGGTATTGTTGTTGATAGTTTACTGCATGCTTCCAGAACTGCGCACACTTCCTGGTTTGAATTTAATGAGTTTTAGCTTCGCCTTGCTGTTGTGGCAGACTTACCTTGTAGTATTTTTGTCACTGTATTCTCATGTAGGTAAACTGTTTGAGATACCGTGTGCCAGGCTGTTTGTAGTAAATAAGTTTATGACGTATAGCATAATTATGAATTCTGCGGTTAATATCCATCACTTAAGGAAAACATTTTGTGGCAATACTCTAGTGAAATCTGATGAACTGAAAAAGTGGAACAGATTTTTGAAGTATAGTCTCTTTAGCTGGGGAGTTCCCGTCATTATAACGATTATTTACATTGTACTAGTAAAGGAAGATGTTCTAAGATTTGATCAACCTATTGTGTCTGTGAAGAACGACGTTCAATCCAGCTTAAGATTCTATCGACGCATTGCGAATGGAAAGACGACGGCAAATACTATAGGGATTTATCACCGTGTTGCATCCTTGAAGGGAGATGTCCTGGAATCAAAGTTTAATCAAAGCACTGACACTGTACTTGAAGATACCCAGTCAAGGTTTAGTCAAAGCACTGTACTTGGGAAGGAAGATGCGACGGAAGATGATGCAAGGATTTATCAACCTATTGTATCTTTGAGGAAAGATGTTCAGTCAAGCTTAAAGTTTTATGAACGCATTGTATTTGCGAATGGAGATGGGAAGGAAGATGATGCAAGGATTTATCAACAGATCTCTGGAGATTGTATCAATGGTCGAATTACTCCCGATTGGTCAGCTGCTGTTGATGTATATGGCCTTCAAGGTTGTCTTTTGTTGTACATTATTGGAATGTTCATCTTCACTGCTTATCGAATTCGCCAAAAACTCAAGGCAAGCAGGAACATTGCACAGAAATCGAATGTTGTTAAGCGTCGTAAATTTGTCATATTGCTCAAACTGTCAACCACTACAGCCTTAAGTTATTGGTTTCCTCTCTTCATATCTAGAATCGTGGATTTTGATTTCGACATAAAGATAGCGTTGTATACTGTAACGTTGCTTACTGGTGCCTACATTGGTATTGCGTTTGTCTTCACACGAAGAAATTATCAGTTGCTCAAGAAAAAATATTTCCCAGCAAACAATAAGCCGCCAGTAAACGAAATTCCGCTGAAGAGACTATATAGTGGAAGTAAGTCGACTGTACAAGTGTAAATATGTAATCAAGTAAGTAAGTAATTAAGTATTAGCAAGCAAGCAAGTTAAGCAGGTAGGCAAACAAGCATGCACGTATTAATATATAAAGAAAGCATGTGTGTATATAGAGTAAGTAATTAAACAGTAATCAATGAACAGCGATTAATTTGAAATCTACGTATTGTACCCAAAGTGAAAACGCGTGAACTATATAATGCCATTAATTTAAAAAGTATGTATACATTGTATTTTAGATGTTTGTAGTAAAGTAAATAAAAAACTGGAAAATTTCTGTCTTTCTCATTTTGTTTCCCAGAAGGGGAACCCCGTCAGCCTCCATCCTGCCGAAAGGCAGTGATGTGCCTTAACTTAGAGTTCAATCTGCCTCTCCTTGGTTCGAGAGCCATGATCTGACGGATGACGTCATTTCAGTGAAGTAATATTTCTAAGACTTTCCCAAGAACATGAAACACCTCTTTCAGAGGCACCAGTGAAGTGGTTTGTTCTTGACTTTTGTATAGATCATGGATCATGTCCGACTGAGCATAAATCTCTGTCCATCGCGCCACAAAACCCCAAAACAGAGTCTTGCACTTTAACGGTGTGTGCCAATGTGCAACATCGCTTTTGCAGAAACAGTACAATTTTTGCATATCACTTTTCCAAATAATGTGCAAACTTTGTTGTTAAACTCGGCAATATAGGGCCAGATTTTGTATTTTGTTCCTCATTTTTATTATGGTAATAAAAGAATGTCTAGAAAGTGTAAACTGAAATCATTTCAAATCTCTGCACAAAATTTTCCACGAAATGGCCGCCATTTTGCCAATGTTTCCGCTTTCCCGTTTTAATTCAAGCTCTGGTACCATATAAAACATCTAGATAATACTTTACCTTATTCTGAACATTTATGGATATTCAGAGGACTTCATAACGTGGTATAAGAACATCCATGACTCGCCCCGGCAGCTCGTAGACATTTTTCAACTTATGACGTCATACTGTGTATCTATAACTAAACAAATCAATTGACCATTTGCGTAATAGACTAACTTTTGAACTAAACAAGTCTAGACAAAAATTTCATCACAGCTTGAAGGAGCATCACAAAATTAGTAATATTCCAAAGTTTCGTTGCAAAATGTTGTAAAATGCGGAAAATATAGCCTTGTGAAATTTGCAATTTTCAGTCATTTTAGATTACAAACGGGAAATTGACAGCCCCAAACCCTTCGAGGCTGTCAATTTCCGGTTTGTAATCTAAAATGACTGAAAATTGCAAATTTCGCAAGGCTATATTTTCCGCATTTTACAACATCTTGTAACGAAACTTTGGAATATTACTAATTTTGTGATGCTCTTTCAAGCTGTAATGAAATTTTTGTTGAGATCAAAATTTAGTCTATTACGCAAATGGTCAATTGAAGGTATAGCATTGCGTTTCGATCACCCCATAGATGAACCACCTGATCTGGAATTTTCAATTTCACAGTGGGACACGGATCCGGTCAAAAGTAGCTGGGAAACGTGAATTAGAGAAACTTTGGCTGGAAAATGGATTTTAGACACCCCCCCGCGCTCTAGTCAAAACCATCTTCTGAAATTGACCATTTGCTGCCCCGTATAAAGTGTTGATAGAAAGCTACATAATAATGGCAATAATAAATGTTTCTGAGTCAGAATACCTTCCCACTAGTCTACTTTTATAGCTTATTCTTGGCCATAAAGCCATTTATCTCAATCAATACTTATTTGGAATGTCAATTAAATATACATCTATGAAATTTAAATACAATGAATTATAGGAGATTTAGTGCATTTGCAAAGTTCGATAAATATTACTTTAACAAACGCTCAGTTGTCCCTTTTTCCCCCCCGTTATCCCACTATACGTGAACAATCGTCCGTGCGTTTTCTTTGAGTGACGTACAGGCACAGGAAAAAAATTAAATTTCCATGAATGAATTTTTTAATGTAAAAACTGAACTCCTGTCATTGTTGCTTATTATAGATTTCCCACATGGTAAATTTGTAAAAACCATGTTTAATATTTGCCAGAAAAATACAATTAATGGTAAATATTAAACATCATAGTTTTACCAACTTACCAAATGAGAAATTAAATCTTTAATAACCAATAATGGTTTTTACATTGATAGTACACATGGTAAATCTTGACAAATCATTCAAAAATCATTAATTAGTGACGGGTGCCAAAAACAATGAACGCTTCGCCCGCGCGGGCAAAGCGAACGTTAATGGAAAATGGCCTTAAAATTGGTCGCTCCGCCCGCGCTGGCAAAGCGACTGCAATGGAAAATGGCCTTAATAGGAACATGAACGCAACATGTCTGTTTCAAAACAGTATTCTCTGAACATTTAAATACTCCGTGTGGGCACGAAAACGAGGCTTGCGGTCAAATCTGATGCATAGTATGCGACTGTAATTTGCTCAATTTCATCAATGATTTATGAACTATTTATCTAGCTTTGAAATATCATGCTTCCACTGGTATTTTTTAAACTATTTTTCGTGACAAGTGTCTGAAGGCTGTGAAGCAAGTGAAAAAGATCTTCGACTACTATGAACACTAAAACCCGACAAAAAAACTGTTTAATTAAGAAGACATGTAATACGGGTGAATTATTTGACCGTTTTGTTGCTAACATGCACTTGGTTGCCCACAGCAAAAATTCAACGGAGCTTTTGAAAGTTGAGTACCACACTTATACCGATGAAAAACGCCTTATTAAAGGTACACAATGCCACGCGATGTGTCGTTTGATGATTGCCAACAATTTTTTTTGCCTTTCCTTTGCATATAAAGGAAAATATACATGAAAAATTAGGGTTGTTACCGTTCTTGTTTTCCAACGACAAGAAGCTTTAGATAAAACGCCCTATTGAGAGCAAACCTGGTAATATTTACCCCCCCCCCCCCTAATATTTGTTATAAGTAATTTCTGGTAAATGTAGAGGTGATTTGAGCAGATTTTCATGCAGGTGAATTATAAGAGCATTGACGGCCAAACGTGGAGGTTAAATTAAGTGAACGCAAAATATAAATGCAAAATTTTAGTTGCAATTCCGGGCTTTCCAAGGGTCTAAATATTAAAATATTTTTGGACGACAAAATTCCCCGAGCCCCTCTAGTACATTTGAATCCGCGCGTATGCTAATATATTCTTTGGAAAAAAACACCTGCCTATTTGAATGAGCGGCTAGGCTAGAGATCATGTTGGCCATGCTGGGCAAGAATAACTATCTTTTAAAATATTCTTCTAATCACACAATTTTTTGCTGTTGTTCTCTTTGCGTGAATTTCGCCATTCCGGTCGGTCCTCTAAATTTCAAAAATTTCCGGGGCAGCATCATGCTCCTGTCTGAAACCTCCTAATATGCCCCTATACTGTAGAATGTTCGGGTGTTAGACCATGACTACTCAAATTTTCTCAGCCTCGCCACTGATTTGAATGTACTCATGCATGAAAAAACCACAGTGAATTTCAAACACTGCTTTCAAGTAATGTAAAATGTAATTTAAAAATGAGGTAATTTGAACCTTCACACGCCGCCCAGTGACAAAGTCTTCGACGTCCATGCCTGAACTGCCAACATGATAAAAACAAGCGAAAATCAAACAGAAACAAAAGAAAACGACTCAATACAAGAGTCGAGAACTAAAGCAACGAACCGGGTACGTTTTGGCAAAACATAAACTTTAAAAACGTTTTCACATTTTGATAATGTCACCAGCTGCTCTACTTATCATACATTTGAAACGCTATAAAGGTGGCTCGCCATAGATTTCAAATTTCAGATTAAATAAAGTAGTTTGATATTCTTATAAATTTCGTATTTTTAAACAGGGCATATTGGGTTGTACACATATTTAAATTTATGGGATATACACAGACAATGAAATGTTTCGTCATCTAAATTAATTTTGGTAACACTTAGAGCGCTTTCCATTAACACGGCTACACCGGTCAGAACGGCCAAATTGTTGAATGAAACACAAAACTTTTGGGCTTCAGACATATCTGACCGCCAAAATTAGAATGAGGTTCATTTTCGTTAGATATTTTAGAAACATAGATCAGATCTTTCCATTGATACAGAGACAAAAATTCGGGTCTGACCGCTCAGGCCATTAAATGGAAAGTGCCCTTAGTCAATTGTTTATGGCAAAAAAAATGTCTAACAAACGTAGTGACGAAAATAACTTAATGCTATTCAACCCGTTGTGGGTCGAATCATGCACAGTATTTTGTGACTGTAATTTGCCCAATTTCGTCAATGGTTTATGAACTATTTAACTTGCTTTTTTCACAGTGGCGGCGCCAGGCTTCCAAATTTGGGGGGGCATTTGAGGGGCAAACTCAAATTTTGGGGGGCAAGGGGTAAAAAGGCCGCCCCCAGGAAATTCGCCCCCCCCTCAAAACGTGGCGATATTCCTAGGAATATCGCCCCCGGGGGCGAATATCCTAGGAATATCGCCTCCCAGGGGGGTGGGGCGAATACCCTAGGAATATCGCCGCTCTTTAGGCCATAAGTCATACATTTTCCGATAACGACAGAACGCTTGTGTAGCCTTTAATCTCTCTTAGTCACTAATAATTTTTTTTGAGGGGGGGCAAAATGGGGGGGCAAAAAATAATTTTGGGGGGGCATTTGCCCCCCCTTGCCCCCCCCCCTGGCGCCGCCACTGTTTTTTCATAACTTTTAAATATTATGCTTCCCTGCTATTTTAAAGCTATTATTCGTGAAAAATGTCTAAAGCAAATGAAAAATGTCCTTGAACTATCAATATTAAAAATTGTTTAAGAAAACATGTGCTTGAGCTTTTGTAATACGAGTGAATTATTTGACCGTTTTGTTGCTAACACTTGGTTGCCTACAACAAAAGATAATCAGAGCTATTGAAAGATGAGGACACACTTATATCGATGAAAAACGCCTTATTAAAGGTACACAATGCCATGCATTGTTTTGCCTGATGATTTCACACTAAGTT